AAAGGTAGGGTAGGTAAGTTTGAGAAACCGGCTCGAGATCGCTAGAATTTGAAAATACACAACCGGAGAAAATCTGCCACTTCCTTATAGAGCCCCTCCTCCAACACACACGAACGCGCACATGACCAATGAGGGCACGAGATAAGTTTGTGCACAGATGGAAGGCTGACAGGCAGGTAGGCCATCCAGTTATTTTAGCCGGGCCGGCTAAAATGATTGGTCGTGCTTTTTACAGTACTACGGCTTCCACAGATGACTTTTTTTTATGGATTTTTTGTCAAAGCACTTAAGATATTCATTGCTATCGGGATGTTAAGAGCATTCCATGGAATATAACAAAAAGTGTATCTCGAGCCGGTTTCTCAAACTTACCCTACCTTTAACCTCTTTTTAAAGGCATGAAGGATTGTCTAAATATTCCAAGCCTCCTCCGGCTTCCTCTCTGCGTTTGCATAACCACCCAATTTGAATAAATTAAACAAACAGCGGCTGCAGATATTTTGCATTAACAGCAGCTGAGCATTTAGTTAGGGGCCGGCGCCACAGCCATTCACTCTGCAACGTGGACTAAAATGAACTCGGAGCAGGGAGACTCACTGAAGGAGAAGAAGGTCTTCCTCCAGCCTGATTTGTGCTGCAGCTTCTCAAATTGCAGAGAATGAGTCAGTCAATTATAACAGAAAACGTATGTGTCTCCCAGCTGGCAGCCAAAGCAGAACAAACATCTGTACTAACTAACAAATCAAATGCATTTTCTGTGCACAGAGAGAATAAAACTTCTCTCTGTGAGGGGTTTCTGATCCTCCCTGAGTGACTCACAGCTTCTACTTTATTGGAAAAAGTTTAACCTCGTACCTGAGTGATGCTGTTGTGCAGAAGTAGAAAGCAGGCCGCTCTCGCCTTATATAAGCAGAGTCTTTAGAGAAGTGGATGCAGAAGGAAGCACATACAGCGGTCATTCCGGGTGCCTTTCTCTGTACAGGGTTTTATTTGCCAGGATATTTCGTCTTCCAGCGTTGAATGAGTTTTTCGAGAATTTCTGATCAAAGCCAGAATGGCAAAATGTCAAATTTGTGGTGAAAGAGGATTTGCTTGTAGGCCATTAACAAGAAAAGACCTGTTTTTTTTGGCAAACTTTCCAAAAATTGCTCATTTGGTGGGAACATTATTGTTTTTTGGGATATATATTTTGTGTGACAGGAAAAAAAGCAGATAAGGACTTTTTTTATAGCTAAAATGTTTCTATACTTGTGACGTTGCATGTTCCTCGCTCATCTTTGTGTTGACTATAGCGATCCATGCTTTTGTTGTTTTATAACTGATGAAGTATGATTGTGATCTGTTGTTCGCTGTGCGGGCAGAGTTAGCATTTATTTAAAACATTTTCAAATAATTGCATTCTCTCTGAGATTTTTTGCTGATGGAAATTCTGGTTGCACATAAGACTCAAAGACGAAATCTCTAAAATGAAGTAAAAGGGATTTTGTTTGCATCTAAGGTGTTCAACGGGTTTAATTTATAACAGTTGTTCTCAACAGTTGTTGGCATGTGACCTTTTAGAACAAACCTGTGCTGAGAAGTCACAAGTTTGAGCAAATAGGGATTTTCGCTGATTTATGCAGCTTATTTTGTAGGGTGATGTCGCCCAAACTACTCCATTTTCAAAATGTTCCTTGCATCTTGTAAATTATCATGAAAAAACTATTGTTTTGTCTTGCAACCCCAAAGCAAACATCTAAAGTAGATTAAGATAAATTGTGTGTAAAGTTGACAATTTGATCGCAGCACAATGCATTGCCCTAGATGTGTAGGAATCATCCTTTGTGGAGCTTCTTTCCGTACTTTAGGTGTCACTGCAGCAAAGGTCAGGGGCTCAGTAAACATTTGGATACTCCCCCAAAATATCCTCAGAAGATCATACTGAATCTTGCTCAGGGGTCTTATTGTGGTCCAGATGAACAGACCCTGTGAAATCACAAATGAAATGGCATGTGTGGGGTCAGGAGATGGAAACTGCCCACGACTGGGAGCAGGATATCCACTCTGAGAAGCTGATCAGAGGAGGGGGGGGCTTGTCAGGGTCAACGGGTAGACCAGACAGAGAGCTAACCTTTTACACGCTGCATTGTTTAGATCTGAGGAAAAAACAGGGCGGTCCCCTGAGATCCAGCTTGACACTGCAGCTGCTGATTAAAACAACTCCTGCCTAGCTGTGAACAATAATCCTTGGTTAAAATACATTTCATTATGCTTCATTCACGCCAAAAATCTTAATATAAATGTGTGACATACTGTTTGGTATATCCATCCATCTTCTCCCGCTTATCCGTGGTCGGGTCGCGGAGGTAGCAGGTTCCAGCAGAGAGCCCCAAACGTTCCTTTCCCTGGCCACATCAACCAGCTCTGACTGGGGGATCCCAAGGCGCTCCCAGGCCAGCGAAGAGATATAATCCCTCCACCTGGTCCTAGGTCTACCCCTCGGTCTCCTATACCTGTTTGGTATAGTGGCCAGAAATGTATAATAGAACACCTTAATTTCAAGGCTCTTACATTTTGTTATCCCTAATTTACACTATTTGAAACATTTGACATTGGAATTCATTATTGATTCAAGTTATTAAAGTTGTGAGTTAGGTTTACATTAGGGCTCTAAAATATATGTCAAACAAGCATACATTTAAAATGTATCATCCAGGTATTCAATAGGGTAATCTTTCAAAATCTAATTATGGATTATAAGTATTAATGCATTTTTTATATGGATTGATTGAAGGAGTTAATGATCCTTACACTAATGCAATATAATAATACAGCTACCCCAAGTTGAGTCCTTAACAAAAATATCTTTATATAAAGAGGCACATATAAGGAATTTCCTAAATTTAAGGGGTTATTTATTGACCTATAACATGATATGTTTTTTTTTTATGGAATACCACTTAAATTAAAAAGGTTTTTTAAGGGGTAAAAATGTAAAAAGTAACATAAAAGTCATGGCTGAATTAGATTTCAATTGAAAAATGAAGGTCCCTTTTGAAGATCAAATACCTTAAATAGCTATGAATTATCTATTTATATTTTAATTAGAATGTTATTGTTTTGTGAACTTTCTCTAAAAACCTTAATTATATTTCTATGAATTTTTTTGAAATAATTGAATTTTAAGGTAAACATGAGGGATTTATTTTGTTATCATTAAAAAAAGGTTTCCCTTTTCTTCGCCCTTCGAAGCCTCAGAATTCCCACATGTATTTTTTCGACTCTCAAACCCAGTGTAACGGAGGATCGCAGCTTCTGTTTCCATGGTGACGTTGAGCCGGGTTGTGGTGGCGCCGTGCCATCACCCCTGCTGTATCACATCCAGAGAGATAATGACAGAGCTCACGGACCCTGACATTAACACTGAGAGGGAGACGGTAAACAGCCACCGCACGCTCAGGCATGTTTATCCATTAAGTGGAGGATGTGTCACTGGGAATTACCTCTCATAGTTTGTGGATATTGAGCATTTAAGGCAGCGTAAATACTCATTTAATGTTTTCTCTTTGTGCCCCGGTGATGTGGTTTGCAGCCGTGCAGAGAAAAGACAGAACAATGGGGAACTCTCTGCAGTGACTTTATTCTTTGTTGTGTTTTTCCTAAGAAACTGAAACCCTCTGCGTCAGGAATCTGGCCGGGTTTAAGCAGAGTGAAATCTGAGAGTTTTCTCTCTCAAGTAATGGGAATGTGCTGCCAGATAGCCGTATATTGACAGACCACAGGAGGGACTGAATGTATGATGTCGTGACGGAGGCCTTGGGGACTCGGATAGAGTCTGATTAGATGTCTTATAATGGATAGAGGATCCAGAGAGACACTAACCTCAGTGACCGGATTACAGCATCATGCAGAAATCACCTCGGGAACTGTGTGATGTCATCTGGTGTTTGTTATCCAGGCGGGAGGAAGACTTTGGCATGTCTCAGCACAGAGGAAGAGATGGAAAATGAGCACATAGATGAGCTCAGGTTTTGATTTTAGAAAGCTCTGTTGTGTGTGTTCTTTGGCAAACGCAACATAACCAAAAGAGTTTTGACCAGTTCAGTTCCAACTTCATGTGGTTTGTATTATATTTTTAGCTTGGCTGTTTTAATGCAAGTAATCTCTTTCTTATTTTGGGAAATATTTGGAACGTGAGATATTCAGATGGATATAAATCTCATGTCTGTGTCTTCAGTGCAGATCTGGGGTCAGCCTTGCTTAACATGAAGAGAGCTAGCAGGGAAATCGCTTGTAATTCAATGGGCCCTATTATGCTTTTTTGGTTTTCCCTTTCCTGTAGAGTGTTATATAGTTTGTTGTGCATGTACATGGTCTGCAAAGCCAGAAACCTCCATGACATAGTGACATCACTGTGTAACACTTGTGCTTCTATTGGCCAGCGCTCTGATACATTGTATGATACGCTAACGGGGGCGGCACATTCCTCATACCTGGCGCATCTCTAAGTGTCGACCAATCACAACAGAGCCGGTCAGCTAACCAATCAGAGCAGAGGGTGAAAAGAGGTGCTGCAGCACAGGCAGTATGAGACAAATTAAGCACTTTTTCAACACTAAAACATGGAGACATGTCACATAGAGACACAAAATAGTAATATGAATCTGAAAATGTCCTCTTTTTAAATGACTTAATTTAGGTACAAATCAGATTGTGCCATGAATAACCTTCTCTGTCTGGTCTCATTGAGTACAAATGGGTTGTCTTTTGAGACGTCTTCAAACTGGACTTTCTTGTTCATGTAATATCCTCTTCCCGTTGCTATACACCCACACTGGAGTGTCCTCTTTCTTATCGTTTGGATGAAACTTGAACAGGAATCCAACTTCAGTGGTCGGGCTCAGTATTTAACACCGGTCGTCTGCATAATCAGTTCTATTGAAATGTTTTTGTTGCTTTCATTTCCTAATAAAACCAGTCAGTTACTTATCTTTTGGCTTCTTTTCTGTGTGTTCCTGCAGGCCAGGCTGAGACCACGCTGAAGGAGTTCAGCCCGTACTACAGGAAGCAGTTCTCTGTGGCCCGTTTCTCTCAGGTTGAAGATGACCTGGAGCAGCGGAAAGAGAAGATCATGCAGCTCCTCAAGCAGAAGGTATGTGTCACACTGGTTCCAGACATCTGAGTCAGAATTTACTCTGTACAAATGGGTCGAGTGAATCATAGGTTTGGTTACGGTTTGGCAGCGTAATGCAGGGGTGAGAATATGTGCAGGTGTGACTAACATCTGAAATATTATCCAGCTTGAGACGGAGATGATTCACTTTAAATATGTTACAGGGACAGATTTAGGAGATGGATAAAACAAACAGTCCATGATGACAAATAAGTAAAAGTAATGAAAGGTTATTGTTTTCCTGATTATCAAATCCAGCCTGACCTGATGTGTTTTCTCCTGCTTTAAATGGTTTGAATTGTCTCATCGACGCTAGAAGAGCACCAACCTCCACCAAGGCTGTTTCCAGGAATAACTTGTGTATCAGCTTCGGGATTTAGATCTACTGCAAAATTAAATGCGTTCTTGTCTTGTTCATGACACACACCTAAATCAAATTTCAAGAAAATCAGGCCAGTAGTGTTGTTGTAATCCTCCAACATACACACATTTACAATTTAAATTATGTCCATTTACAAATGGACCGTAACCTTGACGGAAGGAGTATGATTGTCAGTTCCCCAAAAATGTTAATCTTAGTTTATGTCATAGTTTCAAAATTGATAGTCATTCATTCAAGAGGCGTCTGTAGATCAGGGGCTTCTACCAATAAGAGAGTCAGTGGTTGAACCCCCACCCAGAACAACATTTAAATCTGTGCCACATTTTTAGCTGTGTGTCAATTGTATGTGTTGTGCCGACCAGGAGGCTACTGAGGAGGGCGAGGTGCTATACGAAGAGGCGGTCCTTTTCTTTGACGAAACCAGGAAGTGGAAGGAGAGGTACGTGGTGGTGAGAGCCAACTACTGCCTGGAGTGTCACGACGGCCTGGAGGTGAGCAGGACAGCCACCAAGTCAAATGAACAGTACAAAAGGACAATTCAATCTCCATACCAATTGTCGCCCTCTAATCATACTTTTTTCTTTCCTCTTCCATCAGACTTTTTTTAAAGGGATACCTCCACGCCAGAAAATGCTGCCTACAGGGGGCAGTGTTCTGACCACAGAGGAGAAGTACATGGCCATGGTGGACAAGTTCTTCACTGATGACACCAGTGAGTAAAAGCCTTATAACTCTTATCATGTAATTGAACAAAAACTAAAAACAAAACACAGCATTGGTTACTTGTTCACTAATTCAATATTTGTTATATTATTATGTTTGTCTTTTCACTGTTACTGTTAGCATCAGCTATATAGCTATTTTTGAAATCATGATACATAACGTGCCAATATGCTAAAAGCTAGCCATTTCTCAAAAATAAATAGTTCTACCCTCATTCATAATTATGTTTAAACACAGTATTTCTGGAGAGTTCCAGATAAAAGTTAGGCAACACTTATATAAGTATTATTCCTTAGAAAAAGATGGATTTTTACTTTCCAAAATACTTTTACTTGTAATGGGAGAATTTTTACACTGTTTTTTCTCATTTTTAAGAAAAGCCTCTGCATACTTCTTTCAGCACTAAAGACAGCATATATGATCCCTACATGATTAATGTCTACAAACTAAAATAGCAAAATCTTCTCCATGTGTTCCTCTATCAGAATGTAGTTTATGTGTGCAGTGGATATCACAGCCTTATTGCGCCTCTATTGTGTTTACAGACTTTAAAGTCTCAGCTCTCGATTATCTGTCCTGAAAATATCCCTGCAGATTTGTCAACACGGAGCAATTATCGAGGTCATTTCAGCCTCTGGTGTTTTGGAAACAGTCGCGTGTCTGTGCTGAGTACGCAGTAATCTGTGCAGAGGATGAGTTTATGACGTAATGATGACAATTTGGCTGTTTGCACACAAGCATGCTCTCATAAAGAGATGCTGGGTGTTCTGACCTGTGCGCTATGTTCACCTGTTTGTTATAGATTATGAATAAGAAAGAATTCTATTTTTATTTTATTTACAGATGAACCTGCAGGATCATGTACTCTGCAACAAAATGCGGAACTCAAGCTTAAATAAGTTAAATTGTTATAAATACCATCCTTACTGTAAATGTTTCGAACATTTTCAAAATGCAAAGAATATACAGGTTATAATTAAGTTTAAATAGAAAATAATTCTGAAAATACATTTATTTTGTTTCTTTTTACAATCTCTAATCATCATTATCCATCAGTAAAATGTGAAATATCTTATCACACATATCATTCATTATCCATTCTATTAACACACAAAGAAGACGTTACTACCCCTGTAGATAATACATTTCATGTTTAAATTGTAGGACTTGTTTCTTAAACAAAAAAGAAACCTGAAGTGTTCCCACTTAGATCTTGAACAACAAACTCCCACCCACGGGTGCTCAAAGCTTAAAGAAGCTCAGGTGGGAGCCAAGAAGGACTGAAGGAATGAAATAAGCATTGTTTAAGAAACACAAACACTCGGAGCATGACTTAAATCATAATGACTGATAAGGCCATCCTTGAGAATGTCTGTTTATTTAATAATTGCCTAAAACACCAGTATAAACATGAACTAAAAAGGCACACTTTGTAGTTTAACTCATTGTTAGCCTTGTCCTCTTACAGCAATAAATAGCTGTTAAGTTTAAAGGGATATTTTATCCAAAAATCTAAAGATGTTTGATATATTTTTCCTCTTTACTGTGGAGCAATTTATCAATCAAGATTGTTTTGCAAGAGTGTTGAAAATATCAGCTGCAAAGTAGCACTGTGTTGTGGTGCTCAAAGCCCCAAAGGGCTCATCTGGCTTAGTGGTTCAGCCACTGAAGCTGTGAGAGTCTATAACATGATATATGAGAGCTCCGGAGTCAGTCATGCCTCTCTTTGCTCTCAGATATTCTTTTCCCGACACAAGTTCACACTCCCTGAAGCTTTAAAGAACATCCATGTGTTATGGGGTCATAAAGTTTAAACGTTTTGAACAGAGATTATTAGAGTAGAAGTAAAATAATAATCCACCCTACTCGTCTTCTTTATTTTAAACCCACACAGTAAAACATAATCTGCCCACCATAAAACCCATATACTAATACAGTGTAGAAATACTCTGTTACATATAAAAGCATTGAAATAAACTTCAAGTACAAAAGGTACTCATTAGGGTTGTCGCGATGTACCAGTTGGGCTAATGTGATATTTAAAAAAAGAAAATTATTGGTTTATTTATTTATATATATATATATATATATAAATATATATATATATATATATATATATATATAAATATATATATATATAAATGTATAATATAATGGTGTTCTAGCTCTTTTATTACAGTTATGGTTACAGATTGTGATTCCACCTACCTATAGTATTTAAGTATTTTTTAATAATTTGCATAATTACAACATTTACGATGCATTTGACTCAATAATTGTATATCTGTAACTGAAACTAGCTGTCAAATACATGTACAGTAGTGCAGCAAAAACTTTTATATTTCGCTCTGATATATATATATATATATATATATATATGAGAGAGTAGAATTATAAAGCAGCATAACATTGAAATATTCATGGGCATGTATCTCAAAATTGTGCTACAGTACTTGAGTAAATGTACTTTCCACCACTGGTAGCAGAAACGCCCACTGAGTTGATGTACCTAGAAGATTGTGTTTAATATGAAGCAAATTCAGATAGAAATAAGGATGTGGTCATTCGTTTTTGAGTTATTCGAGATCATGCTTGATAAAAAGTTGGCGTGGACTAAACATTCAAACCAACCAACCCAACATTAAACCATTAATGTGTTTGAAACATCGCCTTTCCTTTTATTTTGGTGCTCACCCTCAGCTGATCTTTGTGTTTCAGATGTGAATGAGGACTTTGCTCCTCCTCTCTCTGGGATGCCGGGACAGTTTCCCGTCTACCTGCGTCTTCCCTACAGGAGGGACTTCTACTTCTGCTTCAAACAGCAGGCCAAGCAGGACGCCTTCCTCTCCATCCTGTCAGACTGCATCAGGCACCAGAACCAGGGTGAGACCAGCGAGCAACCCCCTAATCTGGAAATAAATCCAATGGGGGAGTGGCTTAAAATTGCCGTCTTATCCCTCTGATAGCCTGCAGGCGGCAACTCCAATGGTTACAGAAAGAAGGCAAATTGCATGGAAGTCTATGAGAAAATTACACATCTTTCAATTTCATTTATTTCGTCAGTACACATTTTTATTTAGTTTTTAAGCCTTCTTCAATCCAGCATGACGTTCAAGCTTTTCCGGTTTTTGACGCCTTTATTTAATTGTAGATTTAATATATTCTGGATTGGAACAGTTGTTTGCCATTTCAGATGAACGGTTTCCCTATTATGTGGCATTTTATACATTTAAAAGATTCATCTTTTAGGAGAATAGGCAGATTTATGGATGATGAAAAATGATTTAGTTGCAGCCAGAATATGGAAAAGGATTGTCCTATCTCCAGTGTCATATTGATTAAAAACCGTTATAACACGTATAGCTCATTAGATGGTACCTAATGAGCATCATTACTTGTTACATACTGAATGAACTGAAACTGATCACAGCTAAGTGATGAGAGATAGATTTAGGTTGCATACCATCACTTAAACCACTTTCGACAGTTTCCATGGCAACATACTCGCCACACCAGCTCCGAGGAGCAGAGACGTTTAAGACTTTTTTTATATAATGATGTTGAAGCAGAACATCCCTTCTCTGTGCAGCCCAGCGAGGAGATGTAGCTTTACACTCGGCTCACATCACAGCTTAAAACAAAGAGAATGATGACAAATTATTCTGGCAGTTTCTTAACCTGGTAGTTTTTTTAATCTCCATCTCTTCCCTCTCTGTCAGACTTCCTGAAGAAGAAGACGTGTGAAGTGCAGGCCTTCCTCAAAGCCATCCAGCTCTACAGACAGGACAAAGACAGATACGAGTCCTGGGACATGCTGATAGGAAGTGATGTCAGGGTACGTCCCAAACTCTCAACTAATTATTCTATTCATTTAGATCCTCAGTAGATTTACAGGATTCATCTACACCTTTTATTAAAGAATAGTTTAAAGAAGATTCATGGGAAATACCCTCACTGTTATTGAATGTGTTTAAAGATGCCTGTAGGTGCTAGGCTAACTGTTTTCCCCTTTTTCCAGTCATCATGCTAAACTAGGCTAACTAAGTCTTGACTCTGTACTTAACACACAGACATGAGATTAATATGTTATCCCAATTGCAATTGGTGAGTAAGCAAATAATCAACAGTATTCATTTCTGACTATAATCCCCAGGAGTTTTTGCAAAGAAAGTCAAACAAAACATAAAAAAGTATAGAAAAACTGTAAAAATGTAGTGTTCCCTTATGTTTTTCCTTTCTTGTTGCATCGACCATCCACTGAGTCTCACTCTATCCCCTGGTGAACCATGAACTATTATCTCTGTGTGTCAAACAGAGAAACTTCAGCTTGCAGACGACTTCAAATAATTCATGAAACAGATGTTCAGCTGTGAGACCAAAACATTTGTGAGGAGCAGCACACCGTGGTTGGCTGACGATAAAACCATTTGAATAGACAGAATCTGACATCAGTTGCTACAGCAGGAGTAGGATGTACAACATGTGTGTCCCACATTTCTCTAAAGCAATCTTAGGGTGAATTCAAAGCTCTTTTATTTTTCTCATACTGCCTGTGCTGCAGCACCTCTTTTCACCCTCTGTCTGAAACCAGAGCCCAGTCTGCTCTGATTGGTTAGCTGGCCAGCTCTGTTGTGATAAGTCAACCGCTTAAAGATGTCACGTCCCTTAGCCTATCATGTAAAGTCTGTTGGAGCACTAGCCAATAGAAGCGCAAGTGGTACATGTTACTCATGTTAGAGAAACTCCCTCTGGGGGGAACTTTGGGATGTTAGCCTTTGCAGGCTATTTACATAAGCAAACACATACTGTATACAACACACTACAGGAAAGGGAAAACACCACACGCATAATGGGGCCCCTATAAATAGGTATTCGGTTGCTATATAATAGCTTCCCTTTCCTACAGTGTTTGCAGGGTGTGTACCATCAGAGTCTCATTTGCATCCTCACACTCATGCTTCTCTGGGAAAAACATGAGATGAGAGGAGCTTTTGTTTCTTCAGACTGTCCTCCTTACTCTTTTTGCTCTTCTCCATGCTCTCTGCTATGTGTTGTGCTTTTCCTCCTGGTGCTCTCTAAAGCAGAGCATGGTGACAGGCTAAATGCTCCTTTGTTTTGTTGTTTCGCTCACATTGTGTTTAGGCACAATCAGTTGAAGGTGAAAGGAAGTGGGACTTGCTGCAGGAAGCACACACACACACACACACACACACACACACACACACACACACACACACACACACACACACACACACACACACACTTTAAAACCAATTTGTCTTAGTAATAACTCAGACATTTCCTGTTCTGTGCCCCAAGTGTGCAGCTCATACACGTGTAATAAAAATACATACCAAAGTACACATGCTTGCCCTCACTCAACAGCATGTTTTCTTTCTTGCACATAGCGTTCGTCAGAGCTGAGACATGCGAGGAATGAATGAAATGTCGGCACAGTGCAGAGACAGAGTAAAGGGTTTCAGCAGCTGCTAAATCATAAAAGCTGTCAAACTTAACGAATGGTTATTTAGATAGAAAGTGAGTGAGCAGAGAGTTCACTTACATCTTTGTGTTAAGTAAGCAGTTAAGCAATTTATCAACAAACCCAATACCATAATATATCCAGGCTTATTGATTCTTATTGGATATTTTTGATGCCTTTTTATTTTGTTAGGAAAAAGGGACTTGCCAATAAATGCACTTGAACAAAGAGTATGCTCCTCAAAAATAATGCTTTTCAGTGAAGTTTATCATTTTATTTGACAAATACTGTATCCATTACCAGTTTAGATTGGTTGCAAATAACTTTTATACTCTCCAAAAAACTGTAAGAAGGACTAATCTTCAGTGGTATATGTCTCCTGTTAGTTGGCAGGTAATCTTAAAAAAGAATTGAGAATTGGATTTGATTAAGAGGATTTCTTCATAACCCCAGTTGAGGCATTTGGGGTTTATCAAGCTCTTTGTTCTTTGAAGTTCATTTCACCAAGGCTGGATTACTAACTGGGCGACATCAGTTTTTTTTGCTTTTTGTTTTAACAGCATCATTTTTGCGGTTAGTTAAGAGTTATTTTTGGTAATATGCATAACTGAAGCACATTTTCAATGGGAAAAATGTGACGCTTTTTTTTAGTTAAAATCTAGTTTTAAGACTTTTGCCCACTTGTTGGTTAAACTGGAGATATGAATCCACATTTTTAGACAAAATGTGTTTTTTGTTTTTTTTCAACAAGGTCAAGCAATTTTGATAAGGAGGCCTTTTTGTACTTTAAAAAAAAAATTGTGACCAGATTCATAATATGTGGTACAATGCAATAAGGTAAAATGGGAGTAGGTTAATATGTAAGGCTCTGTATAGAATGCATACTCTTAAATACCTTTGTGTTTTATAATCAGACTGAGTAGCAATTGAATAGTCTCACAGGTGGCCAAACGCAATGCAATCCAACATCACTTTGGGTTTTGGCAACCCTGAAATGTTTTAGACAGTTGAGATGTTAAATGATGTGTTGGAAAAGAGTAATCATTGAATTCCTGTGTGTGTCTGCAGGTGATGGCCAACGTGGTGATGGAGCAGCTGCTGCCGTCTCTGGAGAAAGACATGCTGCCTCGCCTCAAGGCCAAGAAGACGGAGAAGAAGAGAGTGTGGTTTGCTGTGAGTCACACTTTTAACTTGATACCTTTTTAATATCCTGTGACTGATGATGCTGCCGTTTCCTTCTCAATTCAATAAAAAAATATTATTTTATTTGCAAATTGGCACCCGAAGAGCATATTAATGTCAGTCTCAGGGTTATATTTTTGTTTAATCACAAACTTAACCCAGTGAAATCTGAAAGGATAAATTGTGCCTTCATGCTGTGGGCCATTCCCTGAATTATATTATGGCTCTAAAGCTTCATTTTGTAAAGCAGTATCAAATTAATATAGCCGAAATCATGGACCTTTGATTAATTACCGCATTCTGCCCAGACGGTGGAGGCGGCCTACATCCTGATCCAGGAGCATCTGCTGGAGGGACTTTCCGCACTGAAGGAGGAATGTCGAACATCGCTCCGGCAGCAGGAGGTTCTCATCCACTCCGACATGGACCAGATCCTTGAGTCCCGATGGCAGCTGGAGGAGAAAGTCAGAGGTAACGTCCAGAGGCCGACTGCCAAACACAGGATGAGCTGTGATGCATGGTTGTTTTCTGAGAATAAACGTTTAACTTCTCCCTCCAGCCAAAGTATCGGAGCCAGCAGAGAAGCTGTGCTGTGAGTCGGTGCAGCCGTACTTGGGCTCTGTGCTGGAGGAGCTGATGGAGCCCGTCAGCTCAGGCTTCCAGGAGGGACGGCAGCTGAGTGAAACCATGATGGACAAGCTGTGCCAGGACGTCATGATGCTGGTGGACAATGAGCAAGTGAAGGAGGTGTGGTTATAATAAATATCTTACAGAAAAGATTGGTCAAATGAACTGAGGAATAATCATCTTTTATTGTCACATCAGAATTTATTTTCTTCAGTGTGGCCTAATTTTTTTAAGACTCAATCTAGAAAAGTGTCTACCCAACACATTCTACTAAAGGGGTGGTTTTATTATATGTTGCTGTAACATTTTAAAGAGCCCAACCCATGTGACCAAATAAGACAAATTAAAACTATTTAATACATCATTTTTGTCTTCAGGGTACAACGTTAAATCATTTAGTACTGTACTCTTAACAGACATACTCTAAAGTATATCCACATCGCTGTCCCATAAAACAAAATAGTTGGGCTGAAATGATGAATGACATTTGATCTCAGATTATGAACGTATTACTATAAACCAAAATAATCATTTAAATTCATTTCATTTCAAACCTTTATTTATCCAGGTGTATCCCATTGAGATTATTGATCTCTTTTTCAAGGGAGACCTGGAAATAAATTCTTTCAGAGAAAAAAATCTGATAATTCTTTGGTTTTACTTTCTAGGTTGTATCTAAGATATTGAATTCTATATAAAAAATGTTTTGAGTATATCAAACTAAAAGGCAACTTGAAAGAACTCCGATGGTTTTATTTCTTTCCCAGTTGGGAGGTCTTTCTTTTCGACTTTGATGTGCTAATGTGTTGAAACAACATGGATGCTAAAGAAAGGATGTGTTTTAATACTCTTGAGGGGGCTTTAAAAATCCATAACCCCATCCTCTGCTTGTGCCTCAGGCTCTTGCAAAAATGGCGAGACCGAACCTGCTGAGCTGCTACCAGAAGATCGGCTCCCTACAGGAGAAACTGCAGCACCTGCAGGAGAGGTTCGGCTTCTCCAACATCAAGGGAGTGATCCACAGCGCTCAGATCGACCTGCAGCAGGTACACACACAGTAGTGGAGAAAAGTGACAAAGTACCAGAGTACTTCTTTCACCATTGAGACAAACAGTATGATCTTTTTCATTCACTTTCTCCGTCAGACGCTCAGACTGAGTGGGTGGAGAGGTTATTTTCATTTGAGTGAAATAGTCATTTTATTAGCCAGCAGTTCCCCGAGGGGATCATTAAAGTGTTTCTGATTATGATACTCTTGTGACTGTAATGCATGTTTCTGATTATGATACTCTTGTGACTGTAATGCATGTTTCTGATTATGATACTCTTGTGACTGTAATGCATGTTTCAGATTATGATACTCTTGTGACTGTAATGCATGTTTCTTCAATACATTCACTGTGTGTTTCAGTGTAAATAATGAAAACCTTGGTTGTAGTGATAATCCACACTGATGGGATTTTCAGATGCTATCTTTGGCTCTGTATTTGGGTCATTTAACTGCTGTCTGATCTCATCTCATCCTGTGTGTGTGTGTGTGTTTGTGTGTGTGTTCCAGCTGATGGAGAATGCAGCCCACACGTTTGGGCAGCTGCTCAACAAAGCGGTCCAGGACAACCCTGACAACCCCGGCTCTGCCATCGACAAGGCCAAACACAGAGTGCTCAAGGTCAGAAAACATGGTTAATGCAGGAACTGGATTCATTCTGAATCATTTTAGTTTGTATTAACAGTTTTAAAAGAGATTCTGGATTCCTAGGGGTTTATAGTTCTGCACTACAGAATACATTTACAATGAACGCCCACTTGTTTATCAATATATCTTCATGGGACAAACTTCATGTATTGACACTGGTGTTGGAATGCAATCATACCTCAGGGAAACCTAAAACTTAAAACAAAAAAGGCCTTACCGACAGGAAGTGACAAGTCCCTTCTCTGCTGTGTGTCCTGCAGCAATATGACCATGACAGCAGCACAGTGAGGAAGAGGATCTCCAGGGAGGCTCTCGTCTCCATCACTCTGCCCTACATCAAGAAGAACCTGGCCCCCACCTGCAAAACTGTGAGTCTCAGCTACACACAGCTATGATGAAGAGTGTCATTCAACATCTACATAGTTTCAGAGCATGACTTGTGTATGCGTTTCTGTGCAGGAGCTTCAGAGTCTCGAGCAGACCATCGACGGTGACCACTTCAACTACATCCATGTCGAGAACGTTTACGAGATCATCCTCCTGCAAACTCTGGACAAGGAGGTCACTAAAGGTATGTTAAACTGCTGATGATATAGCAACACTTTCTTCACAGACACACCTCTAATCCTCCCTGTTCTCTCCTGCAGTGGTGAAAGAGGCAGCTAGCCTGAAGAAGTACAACCTGTTCACAGACAGCAGAGACCTCCTCAGTCAGTCCAGCCGCTCCAGCCTCTCCTCCCCCTCGCCCGCCGCCTCCACTCCCAACAGCCCCGCCATGATGCTCGCCTCCCCCTCCATAACCTCCTCTGAGCCCCCACCCCCCTCTCCTCTTGCATTCAATGGTCTGTCATTCAGCTCCAAGAAGGAAGAGAAGATGGATAACGGTGTGCTGCCAAGCGAAGCCTCGACGGATGTGACCACCATTGAGACACCTCTGGGGAAGGTGGAAGAAAAAGATGCAGCTCCAACTATCAGTGAGGAGGCAACACCAACCAAAGCAGCAGAAGAAGTCGTCCAAGCCGTGAAGGAAGAAGAAGGCCTCCCTGTTTCACTGGAGACACCAGAGGTAACGGATACAGCTAAAGAGAGTGAGACCCAGGAAGTGAATGTAGAAGCGGCACCTGAGACAGTGATCCAAGATAATGTGTTTGCTGTAGAAACAAAAGCAGTGGAGGTGGCTGCTGAGCCTCAGATGCAGACCACAGCAGCTCCAAGAGAGACAGAAATCACTTTGTCCGAAGTGCCCACTGTTGTAGAAAGTAAAAAGAAAGAAGAAGAAGCAGCATCAGCATCTACAGAAGCTCCTGTATCAAGTCCTGATTCTTCTGTTGAGCCAGAAAAAGCTCCTGTACCAAGTCCTGATTCTTCTGTTGAGCCAGAAAAAGCTCCTGTACCAAGTCCTGATTCTTCTACTGAACCAGAACATGGTCCTGTAGCAGTTGCGGATTCTTCTGTTGAACCAGAAAAAGCTCCTGTACCAAGTCCTGATTCTTCTAATGAAACTCCTGTACCAAGTTCTGAAACAATGATTGAACCAGAAAAAGCTCCTTTACCAAGTCCTACCATTGAACCAGAAAACACTTCAGCAGAAGAAGCTGCTTGCCAAACGTTAGCCAGCAGTGAAGAAGAGTCACACTGTGTAAGCTCAGAAATCAAGTTAGAGGCTCCCTCTAGTGGTGAAACGCATGCACTCACACCTGAAGACATCAGCCTGGACCTGAAGAGACAGGAAGAAGAGACAGTTACTGTCTCTAACCCTAATTGTCTGGATGTGTCAGTGGGAAGTGAGTCTGCCCCGTCCGATGTGGAGTCCATGGAGGAAGGGAGAACAACGCAGAGCAGTGGGGACGAAGTCTCAACGACCTCGGACGTCTTGGATGAGGCCAACATCAGTAATTCACCCGTCAGCTCAGACGAGCAGCCTGAGGACAAGATAACAGTCGATGATCCGTGTCGTGAGGAACAGACAGAAGCTGCGAGTGAGGACGTTGAGGCAGGTACGAACGTGGAGCCGCTGGTGGAGGCAGAAGAGTCTACAACCTCTCAGCCAGATGAGTCTACACCCTCTCAGCCTCCCGAGCCCACAGAAGCAGAAACTTCCTCCAGCCCTGAAGCAAGGCCCATTGATAGCGTCAAGGCAATCCGTGACCTGGTGATGGAGGTGATTGAGGTGGAGGAGCTGGTGAAGCGTTACCCAAGTGGAGTTCCAACAGAGGAGGAATGAAGCATCACAACTGCATCACTGTGCTTTCGACAAGACGAGAGACAAAATAATTAGGAGTCTTCTGCTAAAGGGAACCAAATTATTTCAAGAATTATTACATACGGTAATACGGTAGCCTCAAACAGACCTGGAGTCAAAACGTTTGTTCGCAGAGCAGAAACAGGAAAATACTCCTGAAAAACATTCACAAATGCTTCCATGAACTCTTTTTTTTCAAGCCCATATGCATGAAATGATGGTTAATTATTTATACAACTCATTTACACAAATCAATATAATCGGCTCTTTCAGGTGTATAAAATCATCAGGTTTCTCAGAGACTTAGCACCGACTTCTTTAGAGAAACTAGATTTAGAACTATTTAACCAAGATTGTGAAGAACTTTATGGAACTGTCATTATGCTGTGGTAGATTATGAATTTACTTTGGAATAAAGTGTATAAGGATGTTCTACAATGTCAGAGTTGGGAGGTGAAGATGGATAGCACTCTGATATATATACTTGAGTCAGGGCATGGTTAGCCTAGCTTAGCATAAAGACTGAAAGCACAGGGAAACAACTAGCTGGGCTTTGACCAAAGTTTAAAATGACATCTAGCAAAGCTTCAGAAGCTTATCCATTAACATATCATACATTTCTTTCATTTCAAGACCAACAGAAATGTTAAACAATTGGCTTTGAACTAAAGACTTCATCAGAGTTGTTATGCTAAGCTAGGGTAAACTTCATAACTCCAGTTATGCAAGACACAAGATTGTTTACTGTCTGAACAGCTAACTTTGGGGGAAAAAGCAATATTGAACTATTTCTCTAAACAGACTACAAGAGAACCTTCACACTATTGTTGTTAAATCAGTGAGTTTTAGATTATTTAGAAACCAAGATAACAGATATTTTTAATATATTAGCACAAATAAATAAATACCATTCCCAAATAGATTTTAAAGCTGTAGATTTGGCCCATTGTTTTCTCTTAAATGTGCTTTATTTTGGACCTACTAAAGGACTTTGAACTTACAAAGAAACTGAAGAAGTAGCGTATCCAAGTGCCTCTACATTACCTCCGTGTTGCCGTCACATGCCTTACGTCACATGAAGGAAAGCAGCTTCTGTCAGGTGGACGCAGCTGCAGTACAGACGGGTCCTAGTTTGAACACCTGTGCCTTTTAACCTGTGCAGAGCATCTTGCACAGATATGGTTAGTAGGAAAGTTTACAGTGAGAGTAAACCATATGACCTTTTACTGTAAATCAGATGAATGTTGGTTAATGAAAAATGTGTGTGGAAATGTATACATAATAAAAAGATTCTATAAAACAAACGTACCTTGAAATTATTTGTGTGATCGCTCAATTTCTGGCTTATACACAAACTATAAATTATTTTATTTGCCAATAAAACAAACAGCTTCAGGCTTTAAATATTTATTTACGATGCACAACTTTTTTCTTTTAAACAATCACAGACACACTGCGCTGAGAAATATCAAAAAGCTGTAATCCAACATCTGTGACAGATTACATTCTAAATACGGGTTGACTACAATAATATGCCTTCCATTCATTTGATATATTGCAACACAGAAAAAACCATTTCTCATATTTTCGCGGGCCAGCAGCATCAAGGACAAGATAAAGAGTGAATATAAATTATTTAAGATTTGTTCATATTTAAAGACACATATTTCAATATAAGACATTAAAGGCTGTTTACATTTCTTCTTCAATTACATTCACAGAAATAGAGATAAATTACACTTGAATATAGTGCCTGGACCTTTTTTTTTTTTTTACAGTGTACTGCAGAGCTTCCAGTGAGAGACTGTGTGCAAAAACAAGAAAATACTGAATTTTTCGTAATATTTTTCCAGGACGTTTCAAGAGAAATGTGTAGTTTGGTTTTTATTATACAGACAATCTGAGACATTTGAGTTTACTTAGTTGAGTTAAGGTTTTAAATGCTGGTGTATTGATAACTTATAACTCCAGCTATTTCAACTACTTGTTTAATGTGTTACTCAATGGTTCCCGACTAAAGGGCTGCAATGCTTTGTCAATTGACACTAATAAAAATTGCTAATCAAATTGATGATGTTAAAAAAAAAAAATTGTTTTGCAAGAATGGAAGCAAATGCTGTCTTCTGAAATATGTAGATGTTTTTGATTTTTTTTTTTGTATACTGTATTAATGAAAAATAAAATGATAAGGCTTTGACACACAGCATGTGTGCTTGAATCACTTAAGAAACATTACAATTATATTTAAAAAAATGTCTGAATAAAAGTAAAATGAAATCTAAGACTGCCCGCCATAGACAGGATTGCTTTCAGAATTTTAAGTTAGTAAGACGAAAAATATGTCTCTATTTATTGTGCACATACTTTCAGAGATTTAAGGACGTTGCGGGTGAGATACTTGTCATACTGGTGCTTTGTTAAAAAAAATGCAGATTGTTCGCCTCATTAATAGACTGACTTATTGTTAAGACGACAGTGAAAACTTGTAGAACGCTGTGAGGTGCAGAAACAAGAGATGTGCGGCTACTATTCCTCCACAGTAGACGCATCTTTAGTAGCACACATTCAATATCAGAGACATGTGTACAGTATTTATGAGTGACAGGTTCCAGGTTTTTACCGGGAGGCATTGTTGTAGTTGAAGAAAAACTGTTCTTCGGGCTGGAAGCCGTAGCCGCTAACCGGTTGATCTGCTGGGACAAACTGCTCCGACACACTGACAGGGCAGAAGAGGGAAGAGACGGGGACAATTATTACAATCTCAAATATAGTGAGACCGAATTAAAAACACAGAGATGTGGCAGTATCTTTATTACATAACTCTCAATATATAAAACAATATTTGATATGGTTAGGACAGATACTAATACTACTTAAAGAGACATGAAACCAGGCCATTTTTTAAACCAGAGATTTTCAAAGTGTGACATGGGTTGCAAAATGTTTTATGAGAGGCTCAGGGGAACGTATTACAATAGTTTAAAGATCACTTAGATACAATTCGTTCAAAGGAAGTCGTTTTGGGGGATTCGACAGAGAGTCTCAGAGTTCGAAACTAATAAATGAGAACTTCATTGATGTATCTCCATGAAAGCAAATCCCTGCAGCAGGTTTAACATTTGCTGGGAAGACAGAAAGCAGTAAGCACCAGCAGCACCACCAGGTGGAGCTCTGACACTAGCCAACTCTCTGTAAACCCCTGGCTCTCAGGACTAACCCAATCACTCAGTCATTGGTGAAAAGAAACATCTCATAAAAAAGTTAATGTAATATTAATCTGCCCTGGTGCAGGTGTTGGACATCCTCAATGAGTGTGTGAGTTACAGACTGCTAATGGCTGGAGGGGTAAACAGTAGAGTTGCCAAGCCATAAAGAAATGTAAAGATGTCAAAACACTGCGCTGTGACGAGGACGGAGGCTGACGGCCAGACCTGGAGGACCTGGCTGCCCTCCGCCCGGCAAACTGGGGCCGGTTTAGGGGGATGATAAAAGGCCTGTATCTACACCATATAAATCAGTTACTATGGGGATGTGGATGCAGAGGGAGGGTGCCCATTTCACGCTCCATCTTCTGACCAGCTGCTGGAAGTTTTGAGTCTGGTGATGGGGTCACAGCGACGTAAGGAGCACTTGATGGATAAACTGGGCTCTGATGGATGACACCACATCTCACACGTCCATCCCCGTGTTTCTCTCCAAGTGTTTGCTGCGCAGCTCTTGGTCCTCTCCCGTACTTCTAAAATACGAGCTGTTTGCTTTGCCCCTGCAAGCGCCTATAATGACGTGTTGTTTTTAGCCAAATCACTTCCAGCGATCAGTTACACAGCTTGCAGCATATCCCCACCCGCTCCCCTCCTCTCCTCCTCTTTTTACCCCCCCCCCCCCCCACCAACCACCATCTCCACTCCAGGCAGAAATATGTCTTTTTTCCTCTCCGCACGCTACGGCTGTCAGGAGGGATTTGAGAGCCGCGCTAAAGGAGGCTGCAGGAACACTGGAGCTCTGAGTCACAGCATCCGCCCACCCGCCCGCCCGCGTGTCAGCCCCAGACACTGCTGACTGTCCGGTTACACCCCAGCCTGGACTTCCAGGAAATATGCAGGACCTGTGTCAGTCCTGATGCTCAGCCATAGTTTAGGATAATTTAGAACAGGAAAGCTCTAAGGGTGAAAAAACACACTTACAGCTAATCCAAATACATTCATGGTATTTTATCTGTTCAATTATGGCTCGTTGTAAACAGGTAATAATCGTTTTTATTATGAATTAATTTAATTTCTTTTTTTTAGTGGGGACGGTGCATCATAAATTACATTTGTTTAACCACATTGTGACTAGTCCACATTTTGGAACCTTAGTATTTTCTTTCTTATTTGCATATCATACTTCATCATTTACAACCTGTTAGATTTATCTTTCATCTTTTCAGAGGGGGTTGGATAGCCCGAGTGGGATTAATCAACAAATCATTCATTTTCTAATTATTTCTAATCGTTATTTCAACTTTTTTCAAAAATGGTGTCATGTGTTTGTACTGGACAACATGATACAAAGAGTTCAACATTATTTGACTGGCAATATATGCCAGGAATGTGTTTTTTGACATTTTACAGGTTGCATCTCCCAAAGCATCAGGGATGGTCATCCATTAGCTCTGATTAAGTCCAAATATATAATTGCCTGTAATTATCCATACAGGCAGTTTGGGCAGACTACTGTTTTATGTTCCTATTATTCATCTTTTTTGGATTGGAAGTTGGTCAGACTGTAGTTAAACATTCCAAAGCATTTTGTTGTTTTTAGTATTTGTAGAAATCTATATTCTTTTTTTTTAATTTCTTTTTTTGAAAAAGGTATTTTCTCAGAAAACATAACACTTCATTTAAACCTGCATGTACCCAAAACAATTATTTCATTGGCACTGAGAAATATTTGATGATTGAAACCAAATCGATCAAATTATAAAAAATGTCATCTTTAGAACATTGTTCTCAATGAGGGTAGGAAACCAAATCTTAATATTGGTGTCAACAAAAGGCTCCGGTCTCCAGCAGCAGATGTGGATATAAAAACCATGTAGCTGAGGAAATCAAATGAATCCAGCCGGTCTGGACACCAGAAACGACGCCTGACACGGCTCTGATATTTCTCATTATGAAACATGCAAATCAACCTGTCTGCCACCTCTTTCCCTTCATGTGTGCTGTGACACGCCGACAAAATGAGGAGACGGTGGTTGGGGGTCATTGAGACAAGGGGCCCGGTGTTCCCACAAATGCCAGTGTGGCCCCCAGAGGAGCGGCTGCAGGACACGTCCCATCCCGCAGAGAACATTCCTTGGTAGTGAACAGGAAAGGGAATCAGGCCTTTCTCCTCCTTCTGCGTGACCCTTCGCCTCCCCCCCTGCGTCTGCCTCCTCCAGGGCCCCTGGCTGGGCCCCGCTTTGATCTCTCCCCGCTGTCACTGCTCAGATTACAGCTAAGCAACACGCCTGCCCCGGTAAGGAACCTGGTCTCGCCCCCGCCTTCCCTGCACCCTCCCATCGTATCTCCACGTCTCACCTGATTGTGACGGTGCTCACTTCCTTCAGATTTACCTCACTTCACTCCCTGCTGCCCCGTCACATCCTGACAGCCTCTCAAAGCACTCATTGATTCTCCGGTTGGCGTGCTCGTGTGCACAGTCACACACTGCCTGTCTGTCTGACACCTCTCTAACACCAACTCATCTGTCCCCCTGTCCTTACAGTATAAAATATTGAATTAGAGCGGGACTAAATACTTGAATTATTTTCAGACATTTTGAAATATCACATCCGTTTTTAACACTTTTGAGTAGGAGCTCTTTACTTTTATTAATAAGGACTAATTGCTTTTTCCCGCCTAATCACAGCTGCCAAATGTATGAACACGTAGGATGTATTATTGTGATCAATGGATCCCTCAGCAATGACTAATGTCACTATATGTAGTTTCTTCTCATATAGTATACAGAAAACAATACGTTTAATTCAGTAGTGGCCAACATGTCGGTAAGGCTCTTTTTTGCATAAAGTTGGTATAACTCTCATTCTGATATTATTACAAACAACATGATTGTACAATATTACAGCCATTTTAAAAAGGCCCCATTCACACCATGTTTCACACATAGTTTAAAATAAGCGGCGGAGCTGGCTTTGATTATTATGTTAACCTGGATCACTCCGAGTACAGCGGCCAAATTAAAACAGTCCCACAGACGCAGATTCCCCCGGCGCTCACAGTATATTTTAAAGGTATCAGTTACAAAGCTGAGTGCGAGAGAGAGAGAGAGTGACAGAAGGAGAAGAGAAACAGACAATAAAGAAACGAGTGAAGGGAAGTCAGGTTGGGATTTCTCTCTCATTGGACAGACTGTGTCGTGGATTCAGCCGGTCACAGTCGGCCTCTCAACAGCAGCCAAGCTAAACATTCCTGCCGGCGAGGGGGGAGAGAAAAAATCCGTCGACACGAGCTTTATCGCACGCAAGGAGGAGTTTGATAATAAACAAGACAAATTACTCACAATAAACTCTGTATTTCCTCAACTATTCATCATCTCAGTAGCGTATCAAATTAGCTGCCGCTGATATTGGGACTAAAATATGGACTCCGGGTCCATCAGAGTGATAACAGGATTGATTTTTAATTCCCAGGCTTCAGTTTCATGTTTCGCTGAGGAATGTGAGCGGCGTATTGGAACTATAGTAGCTGATGTATTGGAGCCTCAGAGGAATGAGAAAGAGGGAAACATGGAGACAGAGACAGCCCGTGAGTGTTTGTTCTCAAAGCTGGAGTACTGCTGTTCAGGGTGGAGCGATGCCTTCTGGGATTGGCGGGGCTTGTTGACTCAGGCCCAGTCTGGTTCAATAACACAGATCAGCGAATAGTGATTCAGAAAAAACTATTGGCGAGGGCAGAGCGCTGGCTGTTGGACGGGCCGACGGAAGGTAAACACTCAATGTTTAGCGTTTCCTCTCTGACACGACCAGAGTTTCTTGATGAAGACAACCTGCGTCACAAACTCACAATCATGAGGGTGCCGGGTTGGGTTGGGGTCCAATAGTTGTCTGAGTTTTGCATCCAGTTCCATTTTTCACGGAGTACTCGCTGAGGTCTTAAAAACATTTGACCAATCTTCTTCTTTTTTTTTGTATTTAGGTCTCCTTTTTTTGCTAGCACTGACTGTTAGTTTCACTAAACGAGATTCTAATCATTATCTCAGCTTTAATAACAGTATACACATGTTTATACCCATCAGTGGTTATACAAAATAAGGTCTGTCGCAATCTGCCAGGATGTCAATTTTTGTTTTGATTGATTCATTTATATTATTATGATATAAAGATGTTGTTTTATTACAAAAGGTTTGAACAAATAGGATACATTTTTAAATCGGTCCATATGGTTCTTAGCAAAAACAATTATAACCTAGAGTCTAGATGTTTCTCTTGTCTTTTAAACCACTTTTGTGATCACAACTTGATGTGTGATCATTTAAAGGGACATATATACAAGGGGGGCCAATCCGTGTTTCTACCGTCCATTTGTTTTTCTTTATTACACAAGTAAACGGTAGAGCGTCTGAGAGGCCTTCTTGCTTTTTGCCTTTTACCTTACTAAATGGTCTAATGGTCATTGGAGCGAGGGGCGGGGCGAAACTCACAGAAGTGATTTCAAAACAAAAGCACTCGTTTGCTTGGAACTGTGATGATATTTTAAACAAGGTGAATTTAGCGATCACAACGAAAACGGCCAAGACACATTTTGAGCCCAGAAAACTAATGTTACTACAGTAAGGGCTGTAAATATAATAAGCCTATGTCTAAAATGGACAACATTGTTAGGAGATTTAAACTACAGCGATTCTGCACTGCGGTCACTCAGCCGTCTCTCGCGTTTGTTTTTTCAAATCAGCAGCTCTTCATTTTTTTCCCCGCTATATTCAATGAGTGATACAAATATTCTTTACCACAAGTTCTTAATAAAACTCACTCTCTTGGACTCGGTACTAGTTTGACTTCTACCAGAAATAAAATGAAGTACTTTTACTGTGTACTTTGTGAGTAATCCTCTGTCAGAGTCCCCTCCATAGTACATAATGCATGTTTTTCTGCTATCTTTGATGAGTGATAAAAATACAATTTTACCATTAGTTCTTAATGAAATTGATACGGTTTGACTTTGTATTAGTTAGCCTACTACTAATAATACATTGAAGTACTTTTACTGTGTATTTTTTGAGAAATACTCTGTCAAAGTCCCCTGCTGAGAACAAAGTCAAGCCACTTCTGCTAAGTTTAATGAGGGAATTATTTTTTGTTGCCATTAGTTCTTCGTGAGATTGATCCTGTTGGACTCAGTACTACTGAAACTACCCCCACAAGTACTATGAAGTACTTACTGTGTACTTTTCCAGTAATCCTCTATCAATGTCCCCTCCTGAGTACAATAATGCATGTTTTTCTTTTAATAAGCATTAAAAAACATTTCTTCCTGAGACTGATATTGTTGGACAGAGTATTTTAAGAGGATATGGTGGACATGATATCAGCAATACTTCCAGTCAGTACTCCGGCAGCAGCATTTTTACACCTTGGAAAGTCTTTAGAGTCTGGCCTGTATAGCTGGTCACAACTATCCTTCAACAAAGTGACACCCTCTGTCACTCTGGTTGCCCTCTTATGATGCTGCTGTCTTTTAATATATGATTATTTCTCAGCCGCTAGTTCGTTCCTCGCAGATTCTTCAGTCTCATCAGCCTCATCCTTCCATCAGTCCCAGTCAACGCCTCCAGCACACTTCCAGTGTCTGACTCCATATGTTATTGTCCTGATGCTGTATACAAGGGTGATGCCCCATGATCACAAAATGACCCCTCTAGAGTCTGAGTGCCAAGGACCTCATATTATGTCTGTCATTAATGTTACATCACCCATTATAACAATTTTCTTTCCTTTTTTCTCTTCTCTTAACTGCACCATTTGAAGGCTTCAAAACAGGCATGTTTACTGTATGTGTTTGGAGAAATGACACAATCAATGGCACATAATTGTACTTTATAAACTCTGAATCTTGTGGTGCTTGAAAAAATACACACTGGCTAAGCCGGCCAGGATATATATATATATGCTTTTTTTGGAGCCCTTTTTTGCAATATTTATTCAAATGTCACTAGTTATTTAAACAAACCACTATCTGAGGAAAATACAAGCAACCATAAAACGCCCTTTATCTAGAGAGCCATTGAAGCCCATGAAGAATTTATCCTTCCACAAATCTTTTCATCTGCTGTATTATTAAAGTTGCCACGTGTTTTCAAATTCAAGTTAAGGTGTCTGTGCAGAACATTAAAAATATTCTTAATTTGCAGTATTTTATTTTAAAAGTGTTCAGGAAGACTGCATCAATGATATGCTATATATATCTATATATCTATATAATATCAATATTGTTATTAACTTCAACCAAAGTCAATTTAAATAGCGGGCAAAAATGGGTTAATAGCCATGGATGTGGTGTTTGATATAGTTTACGTTCAATTTCAACTATTTTAGGCAGAAAAACGTATATTGACTAAAACTTTTTTAATAATTTACTATCATTTAGAAAGGTTTTATGAGAAATAATTTCAAAAGTAAACTTTTTTTCCTTTTGTATTTAAATTTGAAATGTTGGCACACAACATTATTAATGTATACATCAATTTTTTTATTAATAGCAAAGAAACATGCATTCTTGTACTCAGGAGGGGACATTGACAGAGGATTACTCAAAAAGTACACGGTACTAGTGAAACTACTCCCACAAGTACTATGAAGTACTTTTACTGAGTCCAACAGTGTCAATCTCACGAAGAACTAATGGCAGAAAAAATAATAACAAACTCGAGAGAGGGCTGAGTTGACCGCAGTGCAGAATCGCTGCATAGTTTAAATCTCCTAACAATGTTGTCCATTTTAGAAATAGGCCTATTATATTTATAGCCCGTAATAACATTCATTTTCTGGGCTCAATATGTGTCTGGGCTGTTTTCGTTGTGATCGCTAAATTCACATTGTTTCCCCTTGTTTATAATATTATCACCGTAGTGCTTTTGTTTTGAAATCACTTCCGTGAGTTTCGCCCCGCCCCTCGCTCCAATGACCATTAGACCATTTAGTAAGGTAAAAAGCAAAAAGCAAGAAGGCCTCTCAGACGCTCTTCCGTTTACTTGTTTAATAAAGAAAAACAAATGGACGGTAGATACACGGATTGGGGGCCCATGTATATTTTCTATATTGGAATGGTTCCTTAAGTGAATACAATTGAAAACCTCTGCCATAACTTAAAGGCCAAAATGAAACTATTGTATGGTTTGTATGCCCTCTAAACGCTGGCGTGCACACACAATAAGACAAAGATTATTTAATAGAGCTTTTAAAAAAAGGAAACCTTTACAACATCTCACTTGTTTTTCGGCATTAAATATATTATTCATATTTGAAATTTGCTTTTTTTCCCTCATTTAATATTTGTATTATAATCTTTCTTCTTTGTGTTGTTTTGTTATCTTAAATTAAAGTAAACTTAAGTACTCTTACACACCTAGCAGTTAAAAAAAAGGATAAATTGTTTCCAGCATTGTTTGTTTTGGTGCAGTTTTGTGTTGACACTGACAGTTTAGGGTTAACAGTGCAGTAAAGATGAAGTAATATTGACTTCATATCATGGTGACTCATTGAGGATGATGCAGGTCCTGCATCATCTACATTACATGGACTATGGCTGAAAAACAGATATGATAAAGTACTATTAATTATTAGCCCTAGTTTAGGTTTAAAGGGGATCAGAAAGCTCAATACCTGCTCATGTACCCGGACTGTCCCAGCTCTCTATCCTGGAGGTCGTTGTAGAACTCCGGACTGATGGCCCCGTCCGTTGACGTGATCCCATCTGGATGAAACAATACGAACATGGGTTATTAAACATGTAACTTAGCTTCTTATCTCACTCTCAATTTATTTTTTAAAAGCAAACTATTCCTTTAAAGCTCTTAGTACCAGGGCTGTAGAACAGGTCGGGCCTCTCCATGATGTCTCTCTCCCCGATGAAGGACTCTCCGTCATCCCCGAACAGGAAGGGCTCTCCCGCTTCATCCAACGGACGGTTCTCCACCATCTCCAGCCACTGACCGTTGTACCAGCGGAACTTCTCATTCTGGATCTTCTTTCCCCACTCCTCGTCATATTCCTGGGAGGATGTAAGAGGGAAAAGAGGGTCAGGTGGAGAAGAAAACAACAGAAATATGTCCACAAATTGCTACAAAATCTATAGTTTTTTTAGACAAATGTTGGAATTAGTTCAGCAGCTACATGCTTAATGACACATTGTTCCGCGCTGGAAAAAAGGTGTGACTTTTGTAAAAAGGACTATTCGTTTTTCTATAAAGTCTCTATGTTTCTTCCTTTTTGCAGTGTTTTCCATGGATGCCAGGAGAGGTAAGAATATCAATTAGTTCTCACCTCACTCTCAAATTAGTGACATTAATAGTTTTCTCACTTTAAGTAATGGTAAAGACTTCAGCCTCTTGTGGCAGAAATTTGTGTTACAAGAACAACTGGCAATACATCACAAAACAGGAGAGAACACAATTACGTTTCTTAATGAGAGTTTTTTCTTCTCCTAATACATTTGGTCTTTGGTAAAGATAGTTGAAGTGGGAATGTATGTTTTTACGACAGTATTAAAGGAAATGAGTGCCATGTCAGGGCGTTGTTGGATAATGCATCAGCCTTTATTGCATCTTCTCATTCTCATAACAACAAGTTTTACACCTCAGCAAAACAGTTTGAACATCATGGAAATGTATCGCGTATAAGAGTGGTGAGCCAGAGCTCTAATAGAGGAGAGGGTTCACTTTGTGGGTTTGACATGGCACAAAATGTGAAAGGCTATACTGACCAATCGCCACAAGGCACAACATACATGTCAAATCACAGCTCTGTATCAAGTTCATGCATGTTTGACCGTGTGTCGCCTCAGTCCTCTTCACTGCAGCTAATAAAAAACCTTCGTCTGCTCCCCTGTTTGCGTGCGTAGCCCGGTGGAGACGACCACAGAGTTCTGTTTTATTTTCTCTGCGGGGGCTGAAGGGGGAGCGATAAAGGCTGCCTTTGAGACCGCAACGAACCAGCCCGAAAGATTAATCATTCGGATGCAAAGCAGAGCCCCGCGGGTACTGACAGCCAGCAGAGACCCCAGACTCATACAGGCCTATTGACTGTCACAGAGGGCCACCTCGCCCAAAACACTGGAGGTGACAGTGGGACAGTTTGTCAGCAGGGGCTGAAAAAGCATTATGACTCATGTTTTTCACTGAACAATCATGTTTTTCTATTGGTTAAATATGCCTAATCAGTTGTTAGCAGCTGAGCTCATCACAGCATGAGCTCATCACAGCGGGGCGAGGAAATGCACAACAGTTTTGGAAGCTTTTCAACATATTCCTCTGGAAATGTGGCCGGGCTAAGAATAAATCACAGTGAATTAAGCCTCTGTCCTACTTGGAACCTCTACAAAGTTCCTCCTGAAGCCACGTGTGTGTTTGTACATGATCAGGGCCACGATGATCAAAGACCGAACATTTCAGGACTGCAGCATTATGGCGTGTGCTGCCAAAAGGATCCCTTAATGATTGTGTATGTGTGTGTGTATGTGTGTGTCCGCAGCTCTGTTTCTGTTTTCTCTCTCACCTCTGCTGTCCAGTTGCTGACACACTCCAGAGCTGCCTTTCATGTGGCTCACGGCTTAATAGGTCTCACTGATAATTTCAATGAAACACTTCCTTTGCCCCGCTGCACTCCCTGGCTGTAATCTACAGCTAATTACGCTGATCTGAGGTCTGGCAGCGATCACTCACTGACTGGGAGCTGACCACACCTGTCAGTCACAAGGTGACTCAGGAGTTTATCGGTTTGTTAATTGCCAAAGTCAAATTTGACTCGGTAAGTAAGGACTTTGGAAAAGATCAAAATGTTTTATGTTTGTATGGAACTGAGCTGAATAAGGCCACAGACCCACAAAAGCATTCGTTTGTGGGACTCAGTTTGTTGTAATTTGACCCATCTAATTTTGTTAGTGGCTCTGCTTTATTATTTAAATTCAGATCCTTGGTGGAAGTGTCACAATCTTGTTTTAAAACCTTCAACATCATGATTATTTTTTGTTGATTTTGTGAATATTCCTATTTTAGCTAAAAACCTGGGTTCACCAAACAAACACGTTGCTGTGGTTGCTCTTCCTTAACAGTACCCAAATGAGTGCAATTCTTTAAAACACACACTTAATTCAAATTCCCGTTGACTTTCTTGATTTTATAATATTGAATATTTGTGTCCAATTTTCTTTTTTTCATACCATCATACAAGTATAAGTAAGCCATACTATCTGAAAATAAAACGTCAAATATTACTGTTACAAGTGTTAAAAAAAAAACATTGGGAAAAATGATTATGTTAAACTCCTTATTCCTAGTCTTGTGACCTTGGAACCAAGTTATCAAATGGAGTGTAAAAACGATGTTCATAAGACATGTGTTTACTCACAGCGATGATATCCAGCGTGTTGTCGCAGACTTTGCGGATCTCTGTGTTGCTGTCGTGCATCAGGTCGATGAGGTATGCAGGGGCTTCTGAGATTAGGACTCAAAGAAAGAAAACATTCTCTCTGCTCTGGGACATTGAAACAATCACTTGTGTGTCCCTAATCAATCGCAGGGGGAATGGTGGGATGTGGTGGTATTGCGGTCCTCTCCTACGCTTTGATTTAATGACAGAGACTGGAGACAGGTGCCCTGCGGCTGGAGGAACCACTGTCTGTATTTCCTGTGATGAAGTGAACACTTTCCTCCTACAGCGGTGCTTACATAAGATATTCCTGTTCTATTCTTCACGCAGAAAGAAAAACATCAATCGCGCTGACAGAGGGCATATTTGTAATTTGACACAAACCGCCAACGCCGACCACAACTGTGCACAATTACAGGCAGCTAAGAATGCCCAGAGGGTTAAAAACAACTAAATCGAGGGGTTAAAGAGGTTGCAATGGAGAAGCAACTGGGGACAAACAGCGAGGAGAGATAAATACAGTATAGTCCTGGGAGTTAACATTTGGACTAAAGGCCCAGACACACACACTAAAGAAGAATGAAAATATAGTAACTCTGGAGAGAGAAATATACAGCCAGTATGACCGTGAGTGTTTAGAAATCTATTAATTGCATTCATGTCGATGTCTCGCATCTCTAAACATAAATCTCTTTCAATGGGTAAGAAATGTGGACTTATACTTTAATAAGCAAAAGGATACGCGTGTCTTTGACTATGACGTCTCTGGTAGCTTTGTGGAACACCATCTGGTAGAAAACGTAGACAATCTGACACACAAACTCATCATCTTCCTGTTGGGCTGAGATGGAAACAGGTAGAGAAGGAAAAGAAAAATAAGATTCATTTTCAAAGTGGATGACAGAAGGATTTTCCCCCAATCAGATATTTTATTTTATTTTTTAGATTTAAATAACAGTCATTATCCATGTAGGCGAGGGGGATGGATCTTGACTTTTAGTCTCTGGCATTAAAAGCTAATTAAAAAAACACTACATGGTACATTTCATAATCCTTGGGAAAGCTGCAGTATGGGAGTTGGTTCTTACCATTTAGAAGCTCGATGAGAGCAGGAATAATGCCAGACTTGGCCAGCATGGCTGCACACGAGTCATCCATGGAGACGGTGCCGATCATGATCACCACTTCCAGAATGAGGTCATCCTCAGCAGACCCTGACATCAGGGAAAAGTACAAGTCGAGAGGACGAAATGAAAACATTTGGCCTCTGAAAACGAGTAGAATCAAATAATGCCGAGCCAGGGAAAACGTGCATGTTCTGTGAGTATTTGGTTCTGAACACACAGAGGTGATGGAGTTCTTTCGACTGCTTTGTCTTAATATTAATGCAGTCTGGAAAACTGCTTTTATAATCAATCAATCAAAGTTTATTTATAAAGCCCAATATCACACATTTGACATTTGTCTCAGTGGACTTTACAGTTTATACAGAATAAAACATCGGACAAGGAAACACTTTCAAAGAAACCCCACAGTTAATGGGGGACAACGGAAGAAACCTCGGTGAGAGCAACAGAGGAGGATCCCTCTCCCAGGACGGACAGACGTGTAATAGATGTTGTGTGTAAATTAAAAAGATAATACATTTACAACATACGTAGTTCAAATGCTGGAAAATGCATGTGTCTATCATTTTTGCATTGACCTAACATGGCCCTAGCACCAGGTTTTGCGACCATTTAAAGGCAGTTAGGAATGTCAGGTTAGGATAAAAGTGTTCTCTACGTTAGTTTGGAAACAATATATTTACAACAGCTTTGTTGATTTTAGACTAAATTTAGCCAAGTATTTGATTGGCTGTTAAAAAAACAAAACAAATCAAGAACATTGGAATGGAATGTAGAAAAACGAATTTACTGGCTAACTAGTCTAAGTCAAGTGTTAAAAACGTGTTGTAAAGGAGCTGAAACTCTGGTACTGCATTGGCACGAGTATCAAAACATACAACAAACATGGATCTTATATTAAATATGCCAGGGTTCTCGTTCTTGCTGTTGAATCAGCGTTCACACAATTGAGGCCATAACTACATTGATGTTCCTTCCCCTTTAATTTTCCCAACTTTTCTGTCATTCTTCCCCATTTACTATCATGCTGAATGACCTAAAGAAATTGCCTAAGACTTTTAATTCTGCTTTTATAAAAGCCAGAAAAAGTGAAGCTGAGGTTTGAGGGGTCAGTGGTCATCAAAGGTAGTGATAAGGCCCAGACCTTAATGAGTATTCTCTGTCCTCATGATCAGTGACACTTCACTGATTAAAGGGTTAACACAGGGCATGGGAGAGACCAGGCGTCTGGTTTTAAAAGGAGATAGATGATTGATGTGGCAGGGTCTTCCTGTATGGATGCATTACTGCGTGTTTTGTTACATTGGTGTTTATAAAATATATCGCAATATTTTCACCATGTAACACAAACTTTAAGAAATATTTCACACACACCTGGTTTCAGTCTGTCTTTCAGGTAGGGCACCAGGTTGAACTCCTTTAGTACAAGCTGCCAGTCCAGGTCGGGGATGGTGAGATTGGCCAGTGTGCCGAGAGACTCGATCACAAACTCCTCCGCCTCCTCCTCACTGATCTGAGCTGCCAGGTCACCCACATGGTCCTAAAAGCAGACACACATATTATCTTTAAATGAGGGATAATATATGGACAAATAAAAAAAAACAGCATTCAGTTACAGGTTTGTTCTGCCAAATTCCTTACAGGTTCATGGCATTGTCGCTACACATTTCAGCTATGCATGCCATATATTATTTTTTGCAGAGTATGGTACTGTAGGCTACTCAGATATACCATCAAAAAGGTTTTCCCCCGTGTATGTCCACATGTTTTCGACCCACAGTAAATTTCTCTATATGAATGGATCACTGTCTGTGTTATAGCGGTTCAAGGAACCTGTCACTCCTGATTTTTTTCAAACATTTGAGATTTTGACATCAGGGTTTCTCAGATTCTTTATGTAGTCTGAAGAGAAAGTGTAATGTTGCTGAGGAATCACTGTGTGGGCATGTCTTTCTTTGTTTGTTTGTTTGTAGCCTTTATTTATCCAGGTAAAAAAAAATCCCATCGAGATCAACGATCTCTTTTACAAGGGAGACCTGCCGATCTTTACCATCTGTTGACTCTGAACAATGAAGTCATGCTGTATAAACTACTAGCAGTTCCTGTTTGTACTCTAGCCATGGATGTACACTACATTTCTTCTGCTACTCCAGAAAATTGCTATTTTGTGTTTAACAAGATAGACATTAGGCCACCATGATGCAAACACGTTTTTGAGTTTAATAGACCAGGTACTGACCAGGAAGAGGCTCTTGGTGGGTCCGTTGTGCTGAGAAAGGTTTCTGATCATCTTCATCACCAGAACATCCTTTAGCTTCAGAGCACGCTTCATCAATCTCTTCAGACCGTTGCCTAGGGCAGCAAGGAGAAAGAAAGCAAGGACATAATATAACTCAACAACATACGGTATAATAAAAGGTCTGAATGTTGTGTTCATTGTCTCTGTGGAGCTCATACCTTCACAGATGATACGCGCATTACTCTTGTTAGCAGCCAGGTTGATGCAGAGCGAGATGAGCTCCACATCTATCTCCTTCTCCACACAGTCAAACAGCATCTTCATCAGCTGTCAGTTGCAAGTTTCAAATGTCAGTTAACAGCTTAATTCAATCATCGCTGAGAATTAGGATAAATAAATCAACCACACACATAAGTGTTTGTTTGAATAGGAAGGTGGTTCCCACAAAGAAACAAAACGTCTTCAGTCTGTGGCTTTGTTTGTGTGCCTGGTTGTAATATGTCATTTTGAAAAACCTCACATTTTTTAAGAACATCCCTGAAGTCTATTTGATTATGTTAAAGCCAATCATTGAATCATGAAAATAAAACAGAAAATTATGACATAAAATAAGTGTGATTCAGAAAGAGAGTGTTTGAGATGAAGGCATGCGTCATTTCTATCCTCCCTGATACCCTCCTCCTCCTCCTCCCTACCTCTGTCTGTCCGTCTCTCCTGCACTGATTTAACATTAAACAGGAAGAGCTTTGAGCTGAGGGAGGGTGGGGGGGGGGGGGGGGGGGGGCAGAGGTGCACTGCTTCCCTGTGAGGAGTCAGGAATCAGAGAGAGAGGGAGAGAAAGGCTGGGCCGGGCCTGGGTAAGGTATCAGATACCAGGGGCCCCGGACCCCAAATCAGCCTCGTCTAGACTCTCTGGCACCTGCCTCTGCTTATTTACCACAGACAGCCACCGGAGGCCCAGTCAGGGCCCAACGCCACGCTGCAGCCTGACCAGCTCACACACCTCCACCTCCACCTCTGTGCCTCTCCTCCCTCCCTCCTGACATCCCCGATCTGGAAACCCCAAATCCAGCACCAAACGGTGACCCCATTAAAAGCTGGAGAAGGGGAAAGGGGCAGGTCAGTCACTAGCCTGGGAAAGTGATAAAAGAGAAGAGTCTTAAAACTACTAAATAGGTGAGAGGATAAAAAAGGTGGGGAACTGGGTGAAGCTGTTTGTTATATATGCGTTTTTTTACAGACAAGGCAGTTGGAGGAATATTTTGATATCATGTGCGACAAGAACACGAGGAGAGTTGGACTATTATTGGGGTACATTTGGGATAAAGATACAAATAATATTGAATCAAATAAAAACTGAAACTATGTCCACACTAAACTGACCTCATTTTCTAATAAATTATTTAAGTATGAATATTAGGTTTTGCAATGGCGTTTTCATGTGGTTTTACTTAAAGACCTGCATCCACAGGCTTCTTTTTGGTTTAAACAACTTGGTTTTTTTCTGATTTCATGACATAAAACCTTTGACCACAGTAAAATCCTGTTTTTGAAGCACTTTGCACAAGTAAATCATATCAATATTTTATGATAAACTCACAATTAACGTATATAACTGTACAATGTAACTCCTCCTAATGTAATACAACTCCCCAAATACAGGAATTGTTCTGTCAAACAGTGTCCGTCATTGATTCTTGATCCTCTCCAGTTAGTGGATTGAAGGTCAAAAAGGAGAGAAAAACATGCAGCTTCACATTTTGCTCTGAGCAAAAGATGGATTGATAACATTAGAGAAATGGAGGCAGAGGAGGGTGGTGAGGTGAGAGTGAGCGGGCCTCGGGGCGGGGTCGGAGGTCACATCCTGGTCATGCTGCTTGCCCCGCATCCTTTCTACCACGGGGGGAGCCTGGGGTTCAGATCTGCTGCTGACGTGACCTTCTGAACAAACAGCCGACTCTCCTGGCCACATCTGGCCCGCATTTACACCCAATCTCAACAAACAAACACAACGCACATTTAGCTAATCGGCGATGATGAGAGGAGCGACTGACCGGGTCAACTCAATCAGGAGGGAGTGTAACTCAACAAAAATGTTGTGATCGAAAGTTGAAAGAAACACGCCTGAGGGGGTGTTGAACTTTAGCTGTGAACTTAATTTTACTGATCATAACTCAAAATCATTTTGGACATAACAGTGCTGATTTTTTGTTGATGGACCAGTTTGGCAATGCTAATTAAGGGTATGTGGAGAAGATACAGAAAAGGATGAAATGAAATGAGGAGGTTTGCAGGTTTTCATCGCAGTGCGAGCAAAGACTGTGCAGCAGTCCTCTGGTGGTTTTGGTTCCAGATGTGGCACGGGTCCCTCCCTTCACTCTGTTTCTCATGCATTCATTCCCGGGTGCCGTTAGCTGCCCATGCTAATGTGTCTGTCTTGGTCTGCTGGCGGTGTACATTAGCCAGTCTTACCTGCGGTATGCAGTCTGTGTCGGCAAACATGGACTTGAATCTGTCGTCCATGCTGATGTGGTACAGAATGCACATGCTGAGCTGTCTCTGGCCCTCGTCAGCTGCAACATAAACACAGGAGGAGGAGAAAAGTCAATGGGTGAATGACTGGTTGTGCCTTTACGCTTCGTGGGATGCCAATGACCACATCTAGGAGAGCTATGTGTTTTTTGAAAATATTAATGAGCTGAATGGCCTTTTTAAGGGAATTCTGTTGGAGGTCAAATTGCATTAGGTGCAGAATCAGCACCAGTCGGCTGCAGTTTCTCAATTTGTCGTGTCTCACAGGCAGCTAAGCAGAGGAAAAACAATATTTAAAAGGTTAAATGTGGATCTTCAGCAGGCCACTGCAGAAGAAAGGCAAGCTTTTCATGCTGCTCAAAGGGACAGTTGTACTAAAATACGTTATTCAGGTTTTGAGATATCCAGATGTCTGTCAAAATCAGGGGAAATGGAATTTAATTTCTGCGACACACAGCAGCTCGGGATAAGTCTGGCAAAATATTTTATTTTCCTTTTCTCAAAACATTTCTATATACAGAGCCACACCAAAATTGAATGCATCTACTAAAAGGTATTGTCTATCAAAGCCTGATATATCTTCTTCGTCTGTGCTATAGAGGTCCATTGTTGTGCAGAATGTTTTAAAGACCTCAATGAGCCACATTGTTGCACTGGGAGACATTTTTCCTTGATTACCATTAACAAATGCGTATTCTTTTGTATTACGCCTCATAAAGAAGGAAGACTATATTTGTGAGAATATAAGACATACATCTTCAGTTAAAAAACATTACCTTACAGCTGAGGGCCACAGACTGTAGTTGAAAGAGCATTGGGAGATGGACTAACATGTTTTTGGTTTGGTTCTACACATGGGATTTGAATAGAAAACATATAGAAGGATGCCAGCCTTATTTTAAAAACATCTCTTCTCCCTCCAGAAACAGTGACTGCTGTTAGGATACTCCACAGACCTTACTGAGGACAGTTTACACAGGGACCATTTCTACAGCAGAAAGTAGTTCCAATGAAAACTATGGACAGTCAGGTCTGTTGATTCTCCAGAGAGAGACTGGGACAGTGTTCGTGTAGAGACACATCAAGTTGCATTAATAATGTCTTTGCTACTTGGAGGTAGTGGAACAAGCTCAAATCCTCCAAAATCAACACCTTTTGCTCAGCATACAGTCGATCTATTTATTTCAATACATTGTCACTGATTCTCAGTTTCACAATTAAAGACACCTAGACTATGCACACAAGGTGTCATGGCGATGTCATGCATATGTATCCTTTATATAACTTTTACTTGAATTGGGTATTGTTGAACTTATATTTCATTCCTTATATGTAGCTATGAATAGCACACTAAACATAATTGAAAATGACACTAAATACAGGCATGACAATGAAGGTATTTCCATTGGTTGAGATGTAGATATTTATGCCTACTGGCAATGATAAAGGGTATGATTTCCATTCACCTCCATTGCATTGTAGTGTTAGTAGAGAGTATAGAGTCAGTTATCTTGAAACCAAGATAAATAAAACCAAAACCATTTGCATAGATAGATACTGCTTAATTTCATTTATTGTACTGATCCATAAATATATGTTTAATAAATGTATTACACTCTGGAACTACAGTTTTGTGAGCTTATCAGGCCTCTACAGCAACGTGGAGGAGATAAAGGCAGAATGGATTGAGTGTTAGACTGTCAGTGAGCCCAAGACTTTCATGAGTTTGACCTCTGACCAGAGCTGGGGGGGAGCTGGAGGAGGAGCCAGCCCGGGAGAATTAACAGAGTTCAGACCAGAGTTTGACCCGGGAACTTTTCATTAAGAGAAGTGTTAAGAGAGAGGCTCTTCACTGGAGCAGAACCACCGACAGACCTCCTGTAATGCCCACCAGCCTCCAGAAGCCCGACCAGGTCCAGTTAAAACTGGTCCCAGCCGTGTTCGGTCACTGGCCATACAGGGAGCCTTATCGCCAAGTATAAGATCCAGATGTGCTCAGTGAAGCCCTGAATCACAGGAGGGAGAGACGGCTTCTAGATTTAATTGGGAAAACAGGAGGAAGCATCAATTTTACTGCCTTTAATAAGTTTAAGCTACGCCGCTTGCTGCTCTGGACCTTCCAGCGCAGCCAGCGATTGGCCAGAACATGTGCTTCTCATTAGCGATCCTTTACCTCAGCCGATACCTTAAAATGCACATGAAAACAACCAAGCGCACACATACGGAGGCAATAAGCTCCTGCAGACCTTGCCGACTCACTCTGCTGGTAGGAACATGGAGGATCCTTTCTGGGCGAGGAGAGAGATCCCATTAAATGTTCAAAACACTGGTAGGGTTGGGGCAAGAGAGAAAAAAAAAAAAGGTGAAGGGGAGCTGTTAAGAATTAACTAGACTGTTCAGGGGCAGTTAGTGGGCTAGCTAATCTCCAATTACACCCCAGCCTGATTTAAAACCGCCCCAAACTTCGTAAAATTACACCCGCACACATTAGGAGGCGTCTGGGCGAGCTTTTGTGGACAGCGCCACTCAGTTGTTATTGCATTTTCTGGATAAACAAGCAAGCTGGGTTGGGTCTTTGGAGACATCACACACCACATGATGGGGGTGAAATGCTCTTAAAAATTGGACCCCACCCTCACTTAATTTCCCTAATTTGTTTTTGCAATGTAATGAAGGTCAACATGCTGCATTAAAAGAGTTAAAGAAGTTTGGAGTGAGTGGCAATTCTGTAAATAGGGCTGCTGCAAATGATTGTGTTTCATTATTAATAATACTTTTTGTTGATTAACAGATTTAAAACATTTTATTTAGTTTTGCGCAAAAAAATATATACTCTGCGGCGCATTTGAAAAGAATGAGAATGTCTGGCAAGACTTGATGCCGATACATTTTCGTGTCCAACTAATTTCATTATCATATACTAATATTCTTTTCCTGATCATTTACTAATCTGCTAATTAATCTATCACCTATTTAATTGTAAATTAATTCTTTAGTCTATAATAGTGGAACCCAACAAGGGAAAAAAGATAATCTGATTAAGTATTAAAGGGTTAAGAGGTAAAGAAATGTTTGAATTATATTACAGGCGGTATTTTGGTCATACAGATGCAGACAGCTCTTTTCGGTCCGTGCGGACAGTCAACGTGGCATCATTGTCCTGCTTGACGGCCCCTGTACTCAAAGATTGAAACTTTTAACTGGGTTTTATCATATGTGGATGAGTGAAAGCTACGCACGGATATTTACAAGAAATCTTCAGACTTGGGCCATGAATGGACACAAAATGAACATCACACAGACCTTCTGAGCTATGCTGACGCAAAAAAGCCATCGAGTCAAAGTGCCTTTTGTCTCGCCAGACCAACTGCCCGAAACCAATCTTTGGAATTTTTCCTTCCAAATTACTTGAACTATTTTTTTATTTTTTTAATATAGTTCTGTTAATTAACTAATCAATTCATTATTTCTGCCCTTTCTGTAAACATGAATCAAACGATTACAAGGAGGAATCTTCTACTTTAAGTTGAGCTCAAGTGGTGATGGGATGGATCTACTGGGATGTGATGATGGTGATGATGACAAGTGGAGGCTCCCGCTCCACTTTCATCTCATCATCAGGGGTCCTGACCTGGGGTCAGGTCTGGATGGCGAGGGTGGAGGCTGATACACACGCCCCCCCCCCCCCCCCTCTGTCTTCTCTCTTAGAGATAAGACCAAAGTCCTCATGCAAAGTGTGTCAGTTGAAAAGGAGGACAGTCGGGAGTGAAGCAGATGATTAATGACGCATCGGCTCACATACAGAGGGCATTACACACATACGCAAACACACAAATACAGGCAAACTCAACAGTGTCAAAACTGTGAGCAGGCGTAATATTTCACTGTTAACTTATATTATGTGTGTGCCTTGCTTCCTGTATGAGCAGCCCCCACCCCTCCACTTCCCAAAAAACAGCCCTCCTTCCCTAAATCTCTGAAGACCTCTCCACCTCTCCGGCTCGCTCCTGCAAAAACAACATTTGTGCAGAGGCTCTGGCATGTTATTCTAACAAATATATTATATTAATTATGCGCCGTTACCCGAGCCTCCCCCTGAGAGGCTTCAAAAGGCCCGTCAGATATGATTCTGACTGTGTCACACGACCTCACGGATGAGACAACGCACGATCGCACGCTCTGCAGATTTCAGGAGGTCACTGCTGTAATGGCCACCAGAGGCCTGGGTGCTGTGTAAAAGCTGCACCTGCAAGTACGCCGCAGTAATAACAGATTAGAGGCTCCACCGCCGGCTGAGGATGGATGAGTGTTTCTTTGTCATGTGTCTGTTTTGAGGAGTGAAAACCTGAAATAATGATTCCCCTGATGCAAATACAGACAGGACAGCCTCAGTCATAAACACACAGATAAATACACACAACGAACCAGCATAAACACAACTACAGGAATACAAACAGTCATCAGTAAACAGTAAGACGTATTACCGAGCAGTGACGAGAATCTGGGAAGGAGTCCTGCCTGGACCATGTGGCTGCGCAGCGTCGTGTCGAAGGAGAGGTTGAGCAGGAGGCGTAGGTTGGTGCTCAAGAGCTCCTCGTGCTCGCAGGGAACCAGCCGAGCCAGCTTCTCCACGGCAAACGTTTCAGCCTGCAGACAACGGACAAGTGAAACAAAGACTTTGAGGTTCTGCTCCAGACGAGAACTGGCATCTGTAATAATGCATAATACTAGCAGTCGATAGGCCAGTATATGAGTCGTGCAACAGGTTGGGGAAGCACAAACAAGTTGCCACCATACATTTATATGAATCTTTGGAAAATGTTTTGTACATGTGTGAGCAGTCCGTGAGAACAACATTTTTTTATTTTTTTTTATTGGAATATCGGAACATATTTTTTATAGATCTAAAACCACTAATATTATCAAGCATACTTTATTTTGTTTTAAGCAGTTAAAAACAGTATTTCCCACAAAAGAAAAGACCATAATGGATGACATTTCTACAGCTGAAATGCTTAAAAGATGACGTTTGAAGAGAATAATAAAAAGATAATTTGGTTATCTATTTTTTGCAGACTGAAAATATACATGGGCAGAACGTTTGCATTCAACTATTCCACAAAAAGTTAATATTGTTTTACATTATTTGTCGGTCTTCACTGTTCAGACCTGCCACCCATTAATATGCCTGCATTAAATACAGGAACATCATGATTTATCTGAAATATGATGAATTAGAACACTCTAATAACATTAGTAAACATGTGCATAACATATTGATATCTTGCCTTTACTTTTTTAATAACCTGGTGACAAGCTTGGACAAGGTTCACATGATCTACAGGCAGGTGGAGGTGTTGAGCTGATGACACAGAACTAAGACTAAAATCACAAAGTCACGCCCCAGCGACTCTGTAGAGGAACACTGATGTGTGAAAAGGTGCACAGCGTGGTGTTGTTTGGAATGCATGCTGTCAATATGACTGTCAGAGTGATGCAGCAGTGCTCGTCAGCCGGTGCCGCTCGTTAACATGCCCGTCTCCCCTCTACTGTGGTCTCTCCACATCCAGATATCACAGTGACGCAACCTGCTCCCAGTTAAAACGCACTCGCTGCTACTGTGCGCAAAACCAGCTCCAGTCGCACCATCACAAACCAGACCTTGAGCAGCATAATCAACTGCAGCCTGCGTCAATTACCACTGACATTCCCCTTCCATTAGTGACAGCGACAGCAAAATAAACTCATCACACTGTTTTGGGAGACATATCTGATTTGGAGAAAGTCACAATACATTTGCCGAGTAAATAAAACCTGATGACATACAGCATAATTAAGTGATCACTCTTTAATTTAATCAATTAAACACCCATGTCTTTAAATGGAAACATATTTCCCCTTGTGTAAACTGATATACTCAACAGAGTGAAAGTGTTGAAACCACTATTCCCCTGCTTGAGTGGGTCCAAACCCCCTGAAGGGTTCTTTAATCTGAATCAAAGATACACTGAGGGGGAAACAAGGGAGATAAAACCAGTTCCTAACAGGGTCTGGCTTTGATCAAGTCCTGCAAACTGAGTGAGATTGGAACCAGGTGGGGCTGGATTAGGGGAAAGTCGGAGCGCTGAGGTGCCTGTACGAGCGCTGGGGGACACGTGGCCAAAAGCGGACATTCTAAGCATTTATTAAATTGAAATTTGATAAGCGTGGTTTCAACCGGCATTTCTTCTAGGGGAAGGCCATTTGTCAAAGTGACTTTGGGAGTTTTTTACAGAACAAATAAAGAAAGATTGTTTCCTCTTAACTTTACTAATTGAGTTAAATGTCTCAAAAACAACGTTGTAAAAAACACATTCATTAGAGATGTAAAGAAAGAAGATTAATTGGTAAAAAGTCAAAACAGCACACTGACGCCCTTCATTTCAAACAATGAACAGTTCTGCAGGGCTGCCACCGCAGACACTTAAATCATTATTAAAAGTTAGATTCAAATGTTTTGATCCAAGATTAGTTATAATCATACATGGTTCTCTCAGTTCTAGACATAATATTATAAGACGTTTTAAAGCCACTCATAATTCAAGTAAAAAATATAATGTAATGTGAGAGGTGTTTATTTAAAAATATATATTTTGAGATTTAAAAATGCATGATTAAAATAATCCTACTGCCTATGTTTTAGTAGTTTTAAGCCTTTAGAAATATTTACTTAAGATTAATCCTTTTTTTAGATTAATTAATTCAATTGCTTTCAAAATCCATGATACTGTACATGTCATGTTTGACATAACAATGAATCAAAGCAACATGAAAAAAATCTAGATCCTTGAAGTCGACACAAAAAAATTATAATTATTAAACACCACCATTGAAGTGGAGTAAATATGTCTCCCCAAACCAATCGCGTAACCATCAAAAATGTTTGTTTACCACAGAAGTTACTTTCTGCAATAATCTGAAATCCAAATGAAATATCCCTTTGGCTTTCTGTCGAGGGAGACAAGGCAATGGAACATTCCAAGTCAGCTTAGAGAAATACATCATCCCTGAAGCACTCTATAGGTGACACTTCATAAAGCTACTATATATCTTAAAGGTCCCATGTCATGGCCATTTCTACTGATCATAATTCCATTGTTGAGGTCTACTAAAATACATTTACATTGTGCAATTTTCCAAACTCACATTGGTTTCTCATACAGCATCTCTGTATAGTATGTGTATTCACTCTGTCCTACACGGCTTGTTGGAGCTCCTGCCCCCCCCCCCACTCCCTCCCTGTGAGCCCAGTGGCCGTCTGCGAGACAGCGAGACACAGCGAAACCCAGCCTGAAACACACACACACCCGCAGCCTGGCTGGGAGTTTGTGTGTGCTCAGGCTGAGTTCAGGTGTCTCGCTGTCTCGCCGACCCCACACCAGTGAGCCAGCTCACAGTGTCCCGCTCCTCGCAGCAGCGAGCCTCGCAACGTCCCGCCGAGTGTGTGTGTGTGAGGAAGTCCGCGGATTGGTCCAAACGTAACAGCTCCGCGGACGTAACGTAACGGCTCCGCGGATTGGTCCATTTGGACCAATCTGCGGAGCTGTTACATTACGTCACTATACCCGAAATACGTCACTATACCCAAGAAGTAAACAATGGAAAAAGAGAAATCCCCAACCAGGCGTTCTGGGGCAGCATAGACAGGTCTTTTCTGTGTTGGAGTTTTACTCTCTACAGGGTGTACTTTGAGGGTTTGTGACTCTGCAGACCGTTTACATGCAGAAAAAGCTACATAACACACAAGGGGACGGGTAATAACCAGAAAAGCATGACATGGGACCTTTAACAAAAAAATAACTCCCTGTCTCACCATATCATTCTTGTTTTCCAGGAAGATGGAGAGTTTCTTGAGGAAGGAGACAACCACCAACAGCAGCTCCTCGTCCTCCCGGTGCAGGATCTTCACCAGCATGTGGACGATGTTTTTATTCCTCATCTTCAGCTCTGTGCGGGTGTCTTCAGCCAGGTTCAGCAGCAGGCCCAGAGCAACTGCAGGAGGAAACGTGTCAGAGACAACAGGATCAGCCAGGGAAACATGGACAGTAATCTAGCTGCAACTCACTTATATTCCCTGCTGTGTTTTCTTGCTTTTGTAAGTTATATCTATTTTAGTTTAAGTGTGCCTCTTGAGTCCTCGACAAAACATTTTTTAATTGATATTTCATTTGTCAGCCGTTTCTATCAATGTTGAACAAATTGTTTTGTCTATCCATTTAGTTAGAAAAGTAAAATAACAGAAGAAAGCAGCAATTGTCAAATTGGAGAAGTTTGAAACAACCATTCTTCTTGATCTGCTTAATAAATGAATGAATCAATAATGCACATCAGGTACATTTTCACATCTTTAAGACACATGTTGTTAAACCTGCACAAGTGCATTGAACATACATATTCTAGAAGTGTTCCATAAACAAACATTTTCTGATAACTACAGTATGGGATAGATAAATTGAATAAAACGTTTCAACAGTTACCTCTGAGAAGATGCTCTTGTTTGACCAGAAGGCTCTGGTACTTTCTAAAAGACTTCTCATGTTCCTTTTTCAGATTTTGGTTCTCAGAGAATTCTTCATGTGTTATAAGTCAAGGAACTACATTTTATACAAAAAGCCTTAAACAGTGTCATCTTATACTGCACCATTACAAATGTCTCCAGGTTTAGTATTGTGCCAAGCTTGAGTTCCATTTAAAAAACATACTATATATTTGTATTGGATTTGTTATAGAATGGCTTTCAAATAAAAAAGATGTTCCACTTGTATGACTCTTAAAAAGGATATAGGCCTTTTTCTTCTTCTGTAGTTCGTCTTGCCAGAGGTCGTATCTCTTCAGCTCATGCTCAATAATATTCATACACAGGGCTCCGATCTTGAAATGTGTGACCAGGCCATGGAACTGGGAGAAACTAGAGGAGAAAAATAAGAGGGAGAGAAAGAGAAAAATACCATTTATCCAAAATTGCTTTAAAAACTGAAAAATCCACCTTGATTTTGAGGATTCCAGCTGGGAGCTGTCACTAAAATGACCCAATCCGTCACCCCTGAAGTAGTTTACAAAGTAAACTGTCAAAGTCAAAACACATTCAGTCAAACAGTACGTCCTGGTCCGACTTATAATCAGTCCAACTTGAACAGTTCCACAATCCAAACAGCATAACATGGAGATGGAAAGGAGCCAAGAGTGACGATCAGTTTTCAGAAGAACACGTCCTCTCGCTGCCTAAATCAGCTCTGACAGACATTTATGTATTATTCTAGCAAGGGCTAATTTTAGTGTTTCCTAACCCCCAGTTGGAGAGTGAAACTTCAGTACTAGGTATGCTGCCAAAAGGTGGATGACTACTGTAAGAAAGGGGGAGAGCAGTAAAAAAGAAAAGAGAGCAGAGGCAATTGGGGGTGTGGGTCAGTGATGTTACAACAGAAATGTATCATTACTGCACACAAGGAGGCAACCATATGGCTCTTAAAAATGTTTAACTGCCTTATTCTGGTTTACTGGCTTTGTGCTGCAAATACAAAATAATGTCAAAGTTGTGTTCTGTTGATTTAAGCTTATTTTCCTTGTTTCAGCTTCTTGGTCCCAATGACAGGGAACCCTTAATACTAGTCCCTTTCCTGCAGATGAAAATGCAGCCCTAGCATTTTTTTTTCCAGTGTCTTGACTGTCCGACTTTAACCCTTCCAACACCTTTGGGATGAACTGGATCAACAACTGTGAGCCGGATCACAAAGTATTAAAGTGCATGTTTAGAAGCACGGTTCTGTTTATACTACGTTGGTCGTCTGTCCCTGACAGTAAAAGTCTTTGGCAGTGGGCATGGGTTAATGAACACATTTACATAATGCAGACCCATGCAACCATGAAACATTGAAGACGATAAATTAAGTTTTAAACAACATAAATGTGTAAGGCATTACTTTAAACTGGCATCCTCAAAATCCACAGCCATATTGCATTTAATACCAAGTCAACAAATATGGAAGGATTTAGGGATTAAGTGCTTTTGCATGTTAACCAGAAAGTTAGCATGACCCCGGTTCCCTTTTTAAAAAGTATCCAACATTATTTAAAATTTAAATACATTTTAGAAAATTGGAATGATAGTTTATGGTACTAGCACAAGTTTGAGGCGTAAATGCAATCAGTGTAGTTATTTAGATATATAATATTTTAAGCTTGTTTTGACCACAGGGATGTAACCATTTCTTTTTTACTAACATTGAGGAAACAGGCAGTGCAAAAATGTCCAACTCATTTCCAAGTTTAAGGACTGCAGCACTCTGTTGGTATAGCACATTTGGATATGTCAAGGTCTTTGTATGCAAACAAAAACAACAAATAAAAATATAACACATAAAAGCGATCACAAACACCCAATATAAATAAATCAGAAGCAGAAACGTTGGGTTTTTATAGAACAGCAGGTTTACCTGGAGAAGCAGAAAAAGACATAGATGATGGTTGTTGCCAGGTCCACGCTCTGCTTCCAGTCCTCCCTCAATACTCTGGCCAGGGCTCCAATGGCCGCCTCTGACGATGTCGAACAAAAACATGTCAATAAAGACACGCACACAAAGGCAGAAATAAAGAAAAGGTCAAACAAAGAGAAGGCAAGATAATAAGGAATGACTACAGATGAGAAAGTAAAACAAAAGTGTCTGTGTGTGGAATTCAATCAGAGTCAGATTGCGCAGAGGGCGGTGCAGCTGGAGGTTAATTTGAAGAAGCGTGGGGGAATGCGATGAGGTCGGAGGCTCCTGAGGATTTTGAGCGATGGGTGCTTCTCAACCTAAAGACGTGCGTCCCAGGGTTTGTCTCCGCTTTCCACCCTGACCCCATTCCTCTGGGTTCACACGAACACTCTGCTCTTATCAACATTGGACCGGTTGATGCGGTGCGGCAGACAGAGTGAACGGACGACGCGTTATGACAGATACAAATGAAGCTGTGCCATCTCACCGCGGCAGCACAGGATGATGGCTTCGTGCTGTTGTGAGAGAAACAGCCCGGTTGTCACGGAAGGGAGCAGAAGTGAAGCTGAGCTTTGTTTTCTTTAAAAGGGGAGCAGAGAGGACATGCTGATACAAGTCAGACACTCAAGCAATACTCTATCAAAACAAAACGTTTTTGTAAAAAAATCCAGTTTTAGCTTGAGCATTTGGAATATGGCTGCACTTTTCAACTTTAGCCATTGGATCCACTTGGCCAGGAAAAGTTTATTTTCAGAAAATGAACACGTTCTGAATAATTGAGCATCAAAGTTCATCCTTGACTTTTTAAGAGCTGTCAACCACATCTCAAGATCTTCCTCTGGAGATGGAGTCTGCTCAGATGTCACACAGATAGTCATCATACCAACAGTCACTGGATGGCCAGAAACAGAACCAAGGCCATACACATGCCTTTCCCTGCATGCGCTCCACAAAAGTTTTGTCAAACAGCTTCAGTATGTAAAGGGACAGAAATAGTACAAAATGGACATCGGACGCAGAGGCGGATCTGTTTATACTACATTTGGGGTCTGCTTATAACAACATATTGCAGACCGTTGCTGACCGTTGCTGACCTTCGTGACCACATTCATGTTAAAACTTGAAATTGTTATTTAGAAATTGTTCACATAATACTTAGTAACTCGTGAATCCTTTTATTAAGAGGAATGTTACATTTCATGAAATATCTTTTATTTATCTTTTCTTTTGTGCTCTCTGTACCCTGAAGTGATCAATATGCCAGTAGAAATTGGTCTTGTTAGAAATGTGTTGATACCACTGCCTAAACAATACCCGAGACCTGAATTAAATTTGTGTACTGCCAAATACTACTTCTTGTTGACACTACAAGAAGCAAAGTAAAAAACAGGGTGGCTAGCTAAATTTTTGCTGTTAAATTGTTATGGCGTTAAAAAAAAACAATGGGAAGTCCAAAATGGTGAAACAAAAGACTGGTTGGTTGACCGCATCATTGGACGCTGAAAAAAAGGTTTGAGACCAGCTCAACTTTGATTTGTAGTGGCAAGGGTTGCACATCAGTTTGTAGAGTCATGTCATCAGTTTCTATTGGGAATGACTAGCTTTGTCGCCATACTGTGAACAAAGCAAGGCTACACTTCGGGACATTTTGATTTAAATCTGAAACAAAGCTGGAACGGACCAGACAGAAATTGAAGTTACTTTTGACAGATTAAATGTGAATATCGACACCGTGCTGTAAATGTACTTTTATATTAAATGTACCGTTCTGTATGAGTTCCTCCAGGTTGTCTGGGTTTCGAGCTAGTTGGAAGATGAGGGTGGCTCCTCTGATCTTCTCCTGGATGTCTTCATACAGCAGCTCCACATACTCATCGATGCTGTTGATGCTTGCCTCCTCGTCCAGCTTAAGGGGGATGAAAGGGTTAAACATAGTGAGGACTGGTAAATGTCTTCAGAACTGTTTGCAAACACAAACATATTGTACTGTAAAGCTTAGCTTCTACCTCCACTCCTGTGTAAGGTTTGAGCTCTCGAGATGAGATGTGTTTCTTCTCTTGGTTGTCTGTGAAAGGTTAAATTCAGCATCACAAAGACAAATTACTTCCACGTTTATCTTTTAGTAAAAAAAGTTGTGTTACTACAGACACATCTATGTTGTTATAAAGTAGTGATTATAAATACCATTTGACTGTTTGCGGTTTTGCAAATAAAAGAGCAGCTGCTCCACCTCGAGGAGTTTGGAAGAGTGAATCAGTCGACATTCCTCCACGACCTTTCGGGCCAAAGAGGACGTATCTGTGTGGGCGTTCAGGCTTTTCAGACGAATACTGTAGGGAGCAAAAACATATAGATCAAGGGAAATTACAGCTTTTGAGAATAACACTGGCTCTCAGACTTATAGAAGAAATTGAAATCATGATACAGAATCAGATTGATATTGTTTGACACACGATCATAATTTGTCTTAAGTTTGATTCTCACATTTTCTGACACTCTTTGCGTTCTCCAACCATTGGGATCCCCAGCTCTCCCAGGACAGTGGCCTCCACCTCATATTGAACGATAAGAGCCCTCTCAGTGGGGTGTACATCGAGAGTACAGCCCTTCACTTTCCTGTTGGTCATAAAGACACAAAGTAAGCTAAACTAAAATATGTATTCCAACAGTATCACAGTGCACAGAGTACTTTAGGCTGATTCTTGGTTGATTCGCTTTAATTATCCTAATTGAGATACATTTCTCTCAAAAACACCTACAACACAACCAATTATAGAATCTAAAATCTAAACTGACTAATTTAACAGAATGAAATAGTAAATATAATAGTTTAATATAAAATACATTAATATTGCTTATAGGTTAAATATAGCAGATGTACATCTGTGTACTGGATAAATGCTATGTGTTTGAGAAATTGTGTACGATATGTTTGTGTTTGCATACAGTTCTGAAGACATTTGCCAGTCCTCACTGTGTGTAACCCTTTCATCTCCCTTCAGCTAAACGAGTAGGCTAGCATCATGAGAAATACTCTGCTTCTTTGAATACTCGTTTATCCTTTGTGTCGGGGTCATGATTAAGAAGAGCTAACCAGATGATGTCAAAATCATCACAAGGGTTTTTAAAAACATGTACAATTTTGGACTTAAATTATTACATGTTTATAAACATTTTGCAGCTGATGAATGTGCGGCTTATTTTGATAGTATTCATTAATTAATATCTAAAATAATATTGTGGCTAAAGTTGGAAAATAATGTAGTTCAGCAAACAATATTAAATGTAGGCCTACCAACCAATATGCAATTACCTGAGCTAATTACAAGTACTTTAAAATGTTAGTTGATAAGCAGTTTTAATACTTAAGCAAATGTAATTAAGTTACTTGCATTACTCATATTTCAGATGAATTCACCAACTTCCCCTGAACATGTATATTAGAGTATTTTTGTAGGGGTGTAAAAACAAACAAACAAGAAAGACAGTATTGTTTAATAAACCTGAATCGTTGTCATTAGTTTAGTTACTAATTTCGATGGTGGCTGCAGGTTTTTTCATTGATAACGTTACGTCACGTTTAATCGATTTTTCTTTACGTACACACCCTCAGACAGATCCTACTAATATGATGCTAACTATAGTGTTGTTACTTCTGGTCTTACACAAAAATACATAAATATTTGTAACACGAATATTTGTAACAGAGTTAGTTTAGCAGTCACTCATTTAAATGTCACGTTATGCTATCACTGAACAGCTGAGCATCCTGCTGCCTCATCGACCTGTTCCCTCACGGTGCACTGCAAACTTAAACAAGCTAGCGTTAGCAGCCGTTACCTTTTCAGATACCGTGGATCCCCTGTTTGCAAACTGTCCATTTTGAAAAAGGGGGAAAAGCCCACGTTAAAATGTCCTTATTCCTAAACGGGACCCGCTGATGATGGGTAAAACAGGGCGGATGTTTTATCTATGCAGCTTGTTGCTAGGGCGGCGACCCAGCTCCCAGCATGCACTGTAGCTACAGCAGGCTAGCACTGCTGCCACCTGTAGACAAGGAGGACCAGGCGAGTGCTGGAAACCTGCTGAAATCATGAAATGGGTAGGAGTTGACACAAAAAAAAAATTACGTGTGTAAAGTATGAAATGCCAAATTAACTCAAATACTGTAAAACGAGAACATGTGGGTACTTTACTTGAGTATCTTCTATATACCAATTTTTTGTTCTACAAAGAGGGAAATATTGTAGCCTACGTAAAAATGTTTTGCTAGGCCTACTATATTACTTATAGTAAGTAGTTAGCCTGGTAGTTATGCAGGTAACAGGAATTTAAAGAAATTCCTTTTATTGAAAGTTCGTGCGGGCAAAGTGTATTTTTACCGAAAAAAAACCGAACTTTAAACAAAGACTTAAATACCAATTTACCAACGAGGGGATGACGTGCAGGTGGATAAATTGACGAGAAGCTCAGGTGAGGGGAATGAGGTGATTATTAGCATGGATGTATAATAGGTGATTAGGCACGAGGACAGCCAGGACTAACGGGCCTTTCAACGGACCCAAGGCCGCTTTACATGGTGAACAAACAAAAGGGGCAAATAATAAAGGGACTTGACCGGCAGCCAGTGAAGATGGATGAAATTGAAAGAAAAAATATGGCAAAAAAATGTATAGCATCTCAATGAGAAAATTGACTTTCCTTCGAGTCACCTACCACATTTTAAGGCTCTGGTTTATATTGAACATTCATTATTTTGAACAAACCAATTACTCAATTAATGGACAAAATAATCAATAGATACTCAATTTAAAAAATCATTAGTGAGAATCTCACAAGTACCACAACTACCAACTACAGCATTTAATCTTGCTTTCACATTAATAAATGAGTGATAATAATAATCAAATGCAGAGGTGTGTTACTAATAAAATTATGTCTCTGTTCTGTTCTATAGTGAGAGTAACAGTGCCATGCACAATATCTGAAAATCTGAAATAAAAGTTTAAACCTAGACGTGCAGATTATTAAACATACATTTTCATTTTCTATGCGCATCTAACTTATAAAGAATATTGAAAAATCAGTCTTAAAGGAGTTTATCTGCCAATATGATGGATGATCTTGTTGCAGGCTGAAGTGACAGGCCACCAGGCTAAATCTGGATTAGATAAATTCAAACATAGCCTAACGTAATGTAAAAAGGGATCTGTGAATTTAGGGTGTGTTAGGAAACGTGATATTGGTTTTAACTTTCCTTTGACTATTAATACTTTGTGTGTGTCAAATATCTTCAGTCTATCAAGTGGATTCTTGTCAAATATTGGTTGACTTTTTACATTATATTAGGTGTTTTAAAATAAAAAAGTGTATTGCCATGTTCATGTCTACTTTAGGTTTTGGTTTTTGAGACATTCCCCAGAAGATGGTATGAACTGGAAGAGGTTACAAAAAAAAAGAAAAGTTGTATTCAATACAATGCAATTAAATTATTTAAACATTTTACAAAAAAAATGTCAGTATCTGGATTGAAGAAAGAATAAGGCGGATCATAACTTAATATAAAAGAAGAAGATATCAAAGTTGAAAATTCATGCAAGTTGATTTGTTCTGCACTTGCAGATTTGTTCACTTTAATAATACTTTGTAACAAGACAAGCCATTGTTTTTCAGGGAAGCATTTTTCATGCCATCCATCTTTTTAATCAAAGTTACAAGTAAGAATTAAACAAATGGTGAGTAGGTGTAATTAATACTGTAACATGGTACATCTGCTCTCCAGAAAGTATTTGCTTGTCTCTGCACCAGTGACAGCTGATGTCACCACACTATAATTAGTCTCTGGCTTATATCTGATTATTTGTGTTAGGGGTTAAAAATATATAGTATTCCCTAGTGACTGACTGAAGGACTGAATGTGCTTCAATGTAAATAGCTTGTTTTTCATCTGTAGAAGATATGCACACAATTTTAGAGAACCCCTTTCCTACTCTGCAAAACAGACACCTGCAGTCATTGTGGTTTAAATACCTCATCTGTAAAGCTGTCCATTTGTATGTTAAGTCAATGGGAACCACAAACGGCTACATAAACCACTGAGACACATTTAGATATTTAGAAGTGTTGAGATGAAAGATTGCAACCATACATTTGGAAAGAAAGAAAAACAAACGCCAGTTCTGCAAAGTAAGAGTTTGTTGTGACTGTGAAGCTTGACCAAAAAGTAGCAAAGTAGCTTAATTGCACTAATGTTTCATTAACCAATTACATAGAACAAACAATTTGGATTGGACTTTAAAATGTAAAGACTCAATATTAACAATATTCAATTTAGAAATTACAAAAATGTAGGAGCTTACCTGGTAGAGCCTGCGCCCATGTAATAATGCTGATCATTTTGCTTTTACCTATTACATTTAAGTTGAGACTTGCAAAACTAAAGTTTTGTCCCACATCAGCACTTAACTCCCTACAACTTAGAAATATGTTTGGCTACCGGTCTTTGCTTGGATTAGGAAATTAACCACAACCAATTTAAGTGTATGTTTGTAACAACCAAAATGTCATTCTATATTATTAATATAAATGGGTGGAAAAATGACACGTTGAGTTATGTCTGTGTACCAAAAGAATAAGCTGACTCCAAGTCAGCTTATTCTCGACATGTAACCCATGGTGTACTCTCTGTACTTCTTTGGTTTCTGAAAAAATACTAGGACATAGGACAACACCGGAGCCATAATGTATACAAACATGAGAAGAAGCTGCTAATTTTAGGACCACATTACATGGCAACAAGGCCTTGAGGGTCAGATATATGAACTCTCATGTGCGGGTGGAATTCGGAGCCTGAATTTCAGTCGCCTCTCTGTTTGTCCTGAGACTGAGAATGTGACAGGAGAACCCCCCCCCCCCCCTCTCTCCCCGACTCATACTCAGTCAGTGTCCCTAGCAGGTGATCTGTAAATGTGGCAGGGCTTCCTGAGCACCGCCCCGTGAAAAAGATCTCTGCCGATCACTTGAAGGCTGGCAGAGACGTGTTGAACACTCAGCTAGACAGATATAGTAGCAGCTGAAGAAACAGAGTCGCAAACGGGCACTGAAACACACAGTGTTAGTCTCTACCATTGCCAAGTCAAGCACCTTCTGGATAACAGTACCGCTCTGTGAGGTGCTGCAAGGCCACATCCAGCCAAAATGGAATCTGCAGTTGTAAAGGAAGATACAGGCTCATTCCCCAACCTAGAGTACGAGGCCGCTCACAAGGCGTTCAGGGATCGCTGGAAAGAGACGGATGAAACCATGTGTCGCCACAGCATGTCCTTCCACTTGCACCACTCGCTGAGGAGTGAGTTCTTTGCCAGCTACCTGTACCTGATGGAGAAGACTCCTGTTGGTAAGAAGAAGGGCCACACAAAGGTTCAACCACTCACCAGCTTCACAGTCAAACAGTCAAGATCTACTGTACATCCTTTACTTGTCCCTTGACTCCATTTGGAGTGTGCATGTTTTGGTTGAGTACAAATCACTTTACATGTTATTGATAAGTACACCATATGCAGTAAAAGTAATTTATTTTCAACAGTTTCTCAAAAGTTTTCATTCACAAAGATATATGTTGGCTTTAAACTTGTATTTCAGGAAACAAATTGTTTCAAATGAGTCAAATCACATATTCATCACAAGGTAATGCATTTAAAATGTGGATTCCTGACTGGAAAGCTGTGTACTCCATTTATAACAATAATAATAATAATACATGGATTTGTATAGCGTTTTTCCTAATGCTCAAAGATGCTTTATGCCACGAAGATTGAGAAAAATCTAATCAGACCAGATGTACACTGAAAAAGATCACCTGTCTGAAGTTGATTTACATATTGTAGAAAAAATGGAAATCAATGGTTACCATAAAGGTAGTAAAAGATATATATAAACTGAAACAACACGGTGCAATTTGAAAAAAAGACAGAAAAAATGTAAAGGGTACAGGCGGGTTATATACAGGATAGAAAACATAGGGACTGATTATGAGCGTTGGGGTTTCCTACACTAATAAATCACTGGAATAGCCAACCTATAATCTCTTGACATGCTACAGACCATACCCGTCATCAGCTTTATTGACTGAGTAATGCAAGCAATTCATTCCAGTTTTTCTTTGCTCAAAATGTACTTACGAATAGACATATAGCTCAAAACAAGGACAACAAAGTTTGACAACATAAACATTTTACTCTTAGTTAATGAACGACATTGTATATTTCCATCTAGTTCTTCAACTATGGTGCTGTTATGGTCAGTGGTCACATATGTTGGGTTCTGCACTCCAAGGTTCCAAAGCTGGCTACCTCTCTGTGATGACAAGACATTAGGAAGCTGCACACTGTCACTGAGCAAACTGTCAAACAATACTTCCAGCATGTAACTCCTCCTGATAGCTCAACTCTGTTTATATAAATGAGACACCACATGCTTATTACTAAGCTTTGAAGGACCTGTTGGCAGAACCAGAGTGTTTCATGTAGAATAAAATACAAATCAAATCAAATCAAATCAAGTTTTATTTATAAAGCACATTTAAAAGCGATTTTTGGTCGAGCCAAAGTGCTGTACATGTAATAAAAACACATTACTACAATCACAATAAAAGACAATAAATTACAACAGATACATATAAAAAATAAAAATAAAACACAAGGAAAAGTCAGGAGTCGTATTCCTCGCTCTAACTAGAAGGCCAGAGAGAAGAAGTGTGTTTTTAGTGTAGATTTAAAAAACCCTAGGGTCTGGGCCGACCTCACATGGAGGGGCAGAGTGTTCCAGAGCCTAGGGCCAGCTGCTGCGAAGGCTCGGTGCCCTCGGGTTTTAAGCCTGGTCTTGGGCACTACCAGCAGCAGCTGGTCAGCAGACCTTAAAGCTCTGGCTGGGGTGTAGCGCTGGAGGAGTTCAGCTACAGTATATAGGCCGGAGCCAGCCCATTTAGTGCTTTAAAAACAAATAAAAGGATTTTAAAATTAATTCTGAACCGAACTGGAAGCCAGTGAGGCCAGAATTGGGGTGATGTGGTCACGCTTTTTGTGGCCAGTCAGCAAACGTGCAGCTGCGTTTTGGACTAGCTGCAGGCGTTTAATTGAGGCCTGGTCCATACCCACATACAGAGCGTTGCAATAGTCCAGTCTTGAGGTAACAAAGGCGTTAATAACCCTTTCTAAGTCATTAAAAGATAAATACGACTTGGTTTTGGCCAATAGTCTTATTTAAAAAAAGCAGGATTTGACTACAGTGCTGACCTGCTTGTCGAATTTAAAAGTGCTAGTGAAGGTCACTCCAAGGTTCATGACCGAGGGGAGGATGTTTTTTTTGAGAGAGCCCAGAATATCAACCGGAGAGGCTGGAGGTTGGGGTCCAAAAAAGATGACCTCAGTCTTGCTCTCGTTGAGGTTGAGAAAGTTTTTGCTCAGCCAGGATTTTATCTCTGTTAAGCAGTCCATCAACTGCTGTAGTGAGTGTTTGACATTTGCTTTGAGAGGCAGATATATCTGTACATCGTCGGCATAGCAGTGGAAGGGAATATTATGTTTTGTGAGTATTGAACCTAGGGGCAGTATGTACAGTAGAAAAAGGATGGGGCCCAGAATCAAGCCTTGGGGAACCCCACAGGTAAGATTGCTTTGGCAGAGGAGAAGGCACCTAGCTGTACCGAGAAGCTACGGTCTGTCAGGTAGGACCTAAACCATGCAAGGGCAGAGCCTGTGATGCCAGCGGACTGTTCAAGCCGTGACAACAGGATGCTATGGTCCACAGTGTCAAAGGCAGCTGTCAGGTCTAACAGCACCAAGACAGCGGAGCTACCTGAGTCGGCGGCTAGGAGCAGATCATTAAAAACTCTTAAAAGGGCTGTTTCAGTGCTGTGCATGGGTTTGAAGCCAGACTGAAACTTTTCATGGATTCCATGCATGGTTAAAAAAGACTGCAGCTGGGCGTAGACTACTCGCTCCAGGGCTTTTGATAAAAAAGGTAGCTGGGAGATGGGCCTAAAATTTGCGAGAATGGAGGGGTCGAGATTTTTCTTTTTAAGTAGTGGCTTAACCACGGCATGTTTGAAGGCAGCTGGGACACATCCTGAGCTAAGAGAGGTGTTTAAAAGTAATAAAATACTTGCTCCAACTGAATCAAAAACATCTCCCAGAAGGCGAGAGGGAATGCTGTCTGAGGTGCAGTTTGTCGGCCGCAGGTGCTTGACTACATCCGAGAGAGAAGAGAGGGATACAGGCTCAAAGTGGTCGAGGACAGCAGGGCACAGAAAAGGAGCAGGATCTGGGGTAGCACTAGTGTGGGCTAGCCTAAGAGCAGATACTTTTTCAATAAAAAATTTAAGAAACTTATCACAGAGAGTAGTCGATGGGACAATAGAAGAAACATCACAGGGATTAATGATAGAGTTGAGGACATTAAAAAGAACCTGAGGTTTATGGCTGTTTTTGGAGATTAGCAGAGAAATGTGCTCTGTTTTGGCTGCTTTGACTGCCGTCTGGTAGTCAGAAAGGCAAGCACGAAGGATTTCTAGGGAGACATGGACATTTTCTCTCTGCACGTCTGCAAGCGCGTCTGAGAGCACGAGTACAGTCATTGAGCCACGGCTCTGATAGAACTTTGGTGCGTCTAAGCGTAAAAGGAGCAACAGAATCCAGTATTAGTGTACATGTCGAGTCAAACATGGAGATAAGCTCATCAGCATTAAAAGCACAGTTCACATCTAATTTACAGATCGGAGAAGCATTAAGTGAGAAACTAAATAGGTTGTGTATCACACAATGACTGTAATGTCTGATGTGTTGCTGAGTTGTATTTGTTCATTACTGTATTCTTTATACTGCATGTTTTTTTGCTCCTACCTTGAAGTGCACCAGGAGAAATCATATTTTCTAGCATTTGCTAGTGAATGCATGCTGTATAACAAGCAATACCATCTAAAAGTTGTTTATCACAAGAGCATGGTTGGTTTCAGTCAGACGGCTTTTGTATACTTGACTGGTCTTTCTTGCTTTTGATCATGGAGAAGCAGTGGCGTTTTTATATGTACAAAAGTGGTGGGGCACGAACAACTTAGATATTTATATATAAGCTTCTGGTGCTTTTTTAAGCTTTTTTAAACAAATAGCTGTAGGCTATCCATGGTTCCGATAGAGAGAGGGGGGGGGAGTGTCAAATGACATACTGTCGGAAGCCTTGAATGAAGAACACGGAGCAACACTGTCAGCGCACACATTTACGTACACAGCGTGGGGATGTCATATTGTAATGCACCTTAGTACATGGAGTAAAGGGCACCATCACAAAGCAATACTTAACAATAACAACAAGCGTAATGCTTCAGCATTAAAACACCATAGACTGTAAAAATAAGGTAAACACAGACACAATATCAATCGATCCAGCCTATAGGCAAAACACAGAAGATCAACAAAATATATGACATAAAATGAACTTACCAAAGCTGAAGTAGATGGTCAACTTCATTCATTTTCTTTCCGTTTTACTGATTTTAACCGCTATACGCTGCTCTCTCTCGTCTCCTCTTCACAACTACCCTTATCGCGGCACACGTACTTACAGCCAATCAGCTCTGAATTATGAGATGACGTTTTGGTGGGGTTGCCAGCACTTTGCCCCACTTGTGATTATTTTGTTGCCGCACACATTGAATACAAAAAGACTCTGAGTATGTGCAGTCTAGTTTTTACAGCACCCATTCATTTTGACAGCAGAGAGAGGGGCTAGATCAGAGCTTGCCCCACATCGCTCAACACGGCTCAATAGGCACACTGTGGACACTAATCGGAAGAACGCAGTCCGAAGCAGCAATGTAGAGACGAATCAGACGACTAAACATGATCTTAAAATATATTTTAACATATGTTTTATACATATTTTTGGAATTATTATTTTAATTAATTTCTGCTGACAGTAGTTGGGGCTGCGCCTGCCCCCAATGACGAGTCGCCACTGTGGAGAAGGATGTGCTGTATTGTACAATGGTTCAACCAGACTGACAATTAGAAAGGCAAAAGAGACAAATATGCCTCTGAGCAACAGTTGAATAAGAATAGAAAAACAAGCAGTCATTGGTAAAATTAATTGTAAGCTTAGCATCAAGATGTGTGCAGATTTTTAAATAAAACGGGTTCAGTGTCAGGTGCACAATAATGCCTCTAAAAAGCTGGAATTAACTGGGGTGCTGCTGTAAGATCGGCCTTTATTGAAGGAAAAAGGCAAACCTCAATACAACAGGGGATTCAAAACATAGTGGTGCGCATATATTATAACAAACACTCCTTCGTAAGAAGGTCAAACCTAATCCTTTGCCGACTATGCATTTGTCCATCTTGAGTC